TAAATAAAGGAAATAGAAAGTGTCTTTTATCAAGTTGAAGGTGTTCCTTTCCTTTCCTAATTTGTTGAGAGATTTTATCATGAATGAATCCTGGATTTTTGTCATTTGCTTTTTCTGTGTCTACTGAGGTGATCATTTAGTTTTTGTCCTTTATTCTATTAATATGATATATTACATTATTTGCTTTTTATAATTAGTACAACCTTGCATTCCTCTCAGTCATTGTGTGTAATTTCTTTGTTATGTTTCTGGATTTGGTTTGTTAGTATTTTGTTAGGAATTTTTTTCAGTTTATATCCATGAATGACATGGCTCTGTAGTTTTCTTGATATATCATTTTCTGTCTTTGATATCAGGCCACTAATGGCTTCATAAAAAAGAGTTGGGAAGTGTTTTTATTTCTTCTATTTTCTGAAAGAGTTTGTTTAGAATTGGTATTATTTCCCTCTTGATTGAATTCATTAGTGTAGCCATCTGTACTTGAACTTTTCTTGGTAGGAAAATTATTAATTACTAATTGAATTAGTGTACTTAATACAGATCTATTCATATTTTCTGTTGTTTATTGGGTCACATTTGATCCTTTTTGGCCTGTTGGGAATGTATTCTTTTTATGTAATTTGTTGGGAGAAATCTATTCAGATAACCTCCTTGTTTTCAGACTTTCTCCTCATTCTCTCCTTTGGTACCTGCCAACCCTGAGACCAGAGCCTTTTCTAGTGGTCTCCCAGGCAAATTGCTTTCCTTCCTGTATAAGTTTGGGTTGTGGTGTTTTAAACTCTATTTCGTCTGTCCTCTCTGATATGGTTTTGCTCCATGTCCCCACGCAGATCTCATCTTGAATTGTACTCCCATAATTCCCACTTGTTGTGGGAGGAACCTGGTGGGAAATAATCGAATCATGGGGGTGGTTTCTTCATACTGTTCTTGAGGTAATGAATTGTTCCTGAGATCTGATGGTTTGATAAGGGGAAATCCATTTCACTTGGCTCTCATTTCTCCCTGGCCACCACCATGTAAGAAGTGCCTTTTGTCTTCTGCCATGATTGTGAGGCCTCCCTAACCACATGGAACTGTAAGTTCCATTAAGCCTCTTTCTTTAGTAAATTGCCCAGTTTCTGGTATGTCTTTATCAGCAGCATGACAATGGACTAATACAGTAAATTGATACCAGTAGAGTGGGCATTGATGAAAAGATACCTGAAAATGTGGAGGTGACTTTGGAACTGTGTAAAAGGCAGAGGTTGGAACAGTTTGGGGGCTCAGAAGAAGACAGGAAAATGTGGGAAAGTTTGAAACTTCCTAGAGATTTGTTCAATGGCTTTGACCAAAAACCTGATAGTGATATGGACAATAAGGCTGAGGTGGTATCAGATGGAGATAAGGAACTTGTTGGTAACTGGAGCAAAGGTGATTCTTATGTTTAGGAAAGAGGCTGGTGGCATTTTGCCCCTGTCCTAGGGATTTGTGGAACTGTGAACTTGAGAGAGATGATTTAGATTATCTGGTGGAATAAATTTCCAGGCAGCAAAACATTCAAGAAATGACTTGGGTGCTGCTAAAGGCATTCAGTTTCATAAGGGACACACTACATAAAAATTTGCAGCCTGAGAATATGGTAGAAAAAAAGTCTTATTTTTGGAGGAGAAATTAAAGCCAGCTGCAGAAGTTTGCATAAGCAATGAAGAACCAAATGGTAATCCCTGAAACAATGGGAAAAATGCCCCCAGGGCATGTCAGAGGTCTTCATGGCAGCCCCTTCCATTACAGGCCCAGAGGCCTAGGAGAAAATGGTTTTGTGGGCCAGGCCTAGGGTCCCCATACTGTGTGCAGCCTGGGGACTTGGTCCTCTGTGTCCCAGCTGCTCCAGCTGTGGTTGAAAGGGGCCAATGTGGAGCTTGGGCTGTGGCTTCAGAGGGTGCAAGTCTCAAACCTTGGCAGTTTCCATGTGGTGTTGAGCCTGCAGGTGCACAGAATTCAAGCATTGGGCTTTGGGAACCTTCACTCACATTTCAGAGGATGTATGGAAATGCCTGGATGCCCAGGCAAAAGTTTCTTGCAAAGGTTGGGCACTCATGGAAAACCTCTGCTAGGGCAGTACAGAAGGGAAATGTGGGGTCAGAGTCCCCACACAGAGTCCCTACTGGGGCACTGCCTAGTGGAGCTGTGAGAAGAGGGCTACCATCCTCCAGACTCCAGAATGGTACATCCACTGACAGCTTGCACTGTTTGCCTGGAAAAGCCACAGACAATGTCAGCCCATGAAAGCAGCTGGGAAGGAGGCTATACCCTGCAAAGCCACAGGGGCAGAGCTGCCTAAGACCATAGGATCACCTCTTACATCAGCCTCACCTGGATGTGAGACCTGGAATCAAAGGAGATCATTTCGGAGCTTTAAAATTTTACTGCCATGCTGGATTTTGGACTTGCATGGGCTCTGTGACCACTTTGTCTTGGCCACTTTCTCCCATTTGGAATGGCTGTATTTACCCAATACCTGTACCTCCTTTGTATATAGGAAGTAACTAGCTTGTTTTTGATTTTACAGGCTCATAGGTGGAAGGGACTTGCCTTGTCTCAGATGAGACTTTGGACTGTGGTTAATGCTGAAATGAGTTAAGAATTTGGGGGACTGTTGGAAGGTGTAATTTGTTGCAAAATGTGAGGACATGAGATTTGGAGGGCTAGGGGCAGAATGACATGGTTTTGCTCTGTATCCCCACCCAAATTTCATCTTGAATTGTACTCTCATAATTCCCACATGTTGTGGGAGGGAACTGGTGGAAGATAATTGAATCATGGGTGCAGTTTCTTCCATATTGTTCTCATGATAGTGAATAAGTCTCATGGGATCTGATAGTTTGATAAGGGGAAACCCCTTTCACTTGGCTCTCATTTCTCTCTCTCTTTGCTATCATATAAGAAGTGACTTTCGCTTTCTGCCATGATTGCGAGGCCTCTCTAGCCACTTGGAATTGTAAGTCCATTAAACCTCTTGCTTTTGTAAATTGCCCAGTCTCAGGTATGTCTTTATCAACAGTGTGAAAACAGACTAATAGACTCTCCTTTTCAGGTTCCAGAAATTTGTGAAATATCTCCTTAGCTAATGACTTTTCTTCTAGTTTCTTCATAATTAATGAGTTACAATTATTTTATTACAATTTTTTCAGGGCAATTTAAAAAAGGGAGGTTCATGCCATCATCTTGAACCAAAAGCCTCTACTGATTTTATAAAGAGAAAAGAAATCAATATAGTTCTTTTCATTTTTGAGAAATAAAATACGTCATATTTTCTCTTTACCCAGCCCCATGCCTTCTATATTGATTATTTCTAAATGGAATAAGCATGGCTATTTGGAAGTACATATTTATGGGCAAATTCTTCCTTTCATAGTTAGCCGTATGACCAAGGGGAAGTTATTTAACCTCTCTGACATTCAGTTTCTTCATCTGTGAAATGGGGATAATTATGTTGTTGTCTTCTTTAGCAATGGGTGTGAGGATTGTAATATATGTGAAACTATTGAAGGCCTAAGTAGGTAATCAATTAAAAGCTGCAATTATTATTGTTCTCAGTGAGGAGAATGTTTGCTACTGGCCCTAGAATGATACAATCATAGAGTTTTAGAGCTGAAAGGATCTTCATTCTGATGAGGAAAACTTCTACAGCCATTTCTTTTACCTCCTCACCTACCCTTGCCTTGCTGCAGTGCATCTTTCTAGGCAGGTGTTACACAGAGAATGAGGTTTGTTTGATTCTTAGAATTCAGCAAGGTAGGTAAGATGGGGATTTCTGCTATTAAACAAGAAAAAAATAGTTACTGAGATCATATGCTTTATAGTGGCAGAATCTGAACCCAGATTTCCTGATTCCTGAAATATGTTACTTCCTTTCTGTACAGTCAACAATATAAGCTTACATTTATAGTTAGAAAAATAAACTTTTTTCTCTCCATGTACTAAATACCTTGAGGATTTGTACTGCTTTCATACTTGCATTCCCTCACTTAACAAACATTTATTGAGCACTAGCTATGTATTGAATTAAACTGAGACATTACCCAAAGTCTTGACTCTTGTCTTGTCCATATAATTGAAAATAATGTGTATAAAGTTCACAAAACACTGGATTCCTGGATTTGCAAAAGATAAATGAGTTAGAAAATCTGTTCTGGGTAACCACTTTGGTTTGTTATCTCAGATATACTCACTAAATCTCCAGCCTCCCCTCCCTGGGCAGTTAGTGGGAAGATGTATAGGTCAGCATCACTGACCTATATCCCTCCCAGATGAAGCTGGGATCCAGATGAAGAGGATGATAGTCAGTTATAAGAGGTTAAAGCTATCTCAGAACAACTTATTTTTCTGAAGAGGTGAACTATGCCTTTCTGCCCAGTGTAGCCCAGAACATGTCACAAAATGTGGCTGATATTTGGCATAGATTTTGAATTGAATTATAGTTATAAACATTATTGTATTATATAAACACATACCCAATAATAAATACATAAGCACATAAGAACTTCTGTGTCACTGATTGTTAACTTGTATGTCTGTAGAAATCTGAGAAACGGCCTTTTGAAGAATGTGTCTGTCTTCTGCAAAACTGTGTTTAAAGTACTTTCTATCAGTGCTCTTTTTAAAACTCATATTTATAAATAACAATACATATTTTAAGAATATTGCAGGAGTGTTCCTTTATAAGTTCAAAGAAGAGAGAGCTTGATTCTTAAGTAATGAGGAAGAATAAGTAAAGGCCATCAAGAAGGGCGTGATTTCTTGGTCTTCCAAGTAACTTCCAATATGATTGTTTCTATGAATAAAGTATTTGGGGAGAAATATAGTACCAAACAAATATGTACACTATTTTTAAAATGTTCAACAATTCATTTTTTTCCTTATGATTTGATAGAAAATAGTCCTGGTTTTCTTATACCCATTGTTTTATGTTTTAACTGCCCCTTACCTATTTTTGAATAGTGCGTTTATCATTTTGTTAGGCAACAAGATACTGACTTAGACTCAGCTGTCCCTGATGGAAGCATAATTCCAAAACCGACCACTTCTGCTATAGAGAAAGACATCTTGGTAACAGGCCATTTCTTTTGTTAGTATAATTGAAAATGAGAGAAATACTTGAAGATAATTTTATACTTTAGAACTCACTCTGTGCACCTCATTTGTGAAACTCTGTGGACGTAGGAATAAATACAGAGTTCTATGAAAAAGCTTTATGGCACTCATAAAAGAAATCATTCTCTCCTTTGCCACCTAGGACCACAATTTAAAAAAATTTCAAATCTACTTTCTCTATGTATTAAAGCCAGGTTCAGTCATATATAGCTTTACATGCCTTAATTTTTTATGAGAAATTATTTTATATAATGTATATTTTACAAGGCCTATTAACTTACCTTAGAAATAGTAATTCTTCAAGTATTTCAAATGCATAAGAATTTTTAAAATGTAAATATCAAAGACTTTTAACACTGCTAATTCAAAAGTATTTTGACATTTAATTTTTTTCTAATAAGTGACATGTAAAAATTTGTGAAAATATATTGAAGTTAAATATTCATTATTTTGGAAATGATAACTTGTTTTAAAATGAATATGAACATGTACAATAGCAGCTATAAAATTACAGTATGGACTATTAATAGGCCAGTTGGGATGTCCTAAATTCTATTGTATAATATTTCTGGAATTAATATATAGGGATACTGATTTGCTTATAGCTTTTAAGATCTTCTGATAATAAAAGGACAAAAACTAACACAATTTTTAAAAATTACAAAACACTAATTCAGCATGGACTCTGTTGTGTACATCATGTATTGGGTAATGTAACTTGATGTTTTAGGGTATAGTTATAAAATGAGGTAAGAGTTTTCATTTTCATGAAAATCCACATTTGTAACATTTAGATCTCAAATAATGCCTATGTGAATTGCACCAAATACTTTTTTATGCTTTATAAATACTTTGTTCTCCTAAAACTTGAATTCGCTTAGTAGTTTTATTTTTTATAAATATACTTTTTCTATACATCAACATTTTTCCTATCTTCTTTTTGTAGAGAAATTACTATTATATTCACCACGGAATTGATACAGACCATGTAGCCCCAATGGAAGATTCTTGGCTAGAACATGTATTGGATTTAGTTCCACAACACCTGAAAGTCTTCACAGACAGCATAGTTACATTATCTGATGAAATGAGAGAAGATTATCTGCTTAGTATAAAGAAATCCATAGGTAAATTGGTATTCTTTGATTTTTAATTTGAATATGTCTCATTAAAGATAATTTTTGTATTAAAAATTAATACCTATACTTCAAACTATTCATATAATATTATAATTATGCCATTTCTTACATTGCTGTTATATTACTTAAGATCTTAGGCAAATTATATTAATGAAGTATTATAAAAAATAATTCTATTTGTAGGAATGTATTCCCACCACAAGGGACAGCACTGAAGAAAATTATAAAGCATTAATTTTAATCTTTCAATATTTATTGAGCATCTAATTTATGGAAGGCATTAGGCATTTAGGAGATAGTCTATTCCTTTAAGATGGCCTCTTCATTCAAGGATCTTTTGGTGTAGGCATGAGACAAGACATATTTAAATAATTACCTAAAAGTATAAGCATTAACAATGAACATTAATATTACTGATGTCATAAATTAGAATGTAATTCATGTAAAGTTGTTGCAGTAGACCAAAGGTTGGCAAACTATAGCTCACAGGCACATCTGGCCACTGCCTGTTTTCGTAAATACAATTTGGAAACATAGCCACACTAATTCATTTGCATGTTATCTACAAATCTGATTGCTTCTGAGCTACAAGAGCAAAACTGAACAGTTGTGACAGAGGCCTTGTGGCCCACAAAGTTGGAAATAGTTACAGTCTAACCCTTTACATAAAAAATTTGTTGACCCATGGTACAAATAGATCCTAAGGCTATCAGAACTATTTTAAAAATACTGACTTCTGGCCATACCTGAATTAAAATCCCTGGAGGCAGGGCCTTGGAATCTGTACTTTTAAAAAAGGCTCTCAAGTTGGTTGTGATGGTAAACCTAGTATGATGGATGCTATGTTCAAAGTTGGAGAAATAATAATGCTTTGGAGTAATGTGGGAACCCTTCCTGGTGGAGGACATGCACTTTATTTATGACTCCTATGGAATATCCTGGTAATATAAAAATAAAGAGCCTAATTCCTGTCCTCAGAGTTCATAGTGTAATGAGGGAGATAGACAAATAACTAAATGATAAAGTAGTAAGTGCAAAGAGGAGAGAAACAGAAGATACACTGTAAGGGAGAAGAGGTCATCTCTGACTTGTTAGGAAGGATTCTGGAGGAGCCTAAACTAAGTCTTGAAGGATGAACAACGGTCTAGTAGGGAATGTGCTTGGCCTAGGAAATGCTGTGAACGATGGCAGACATGCATGAGAGGCTCTTGTGGGCTTGTAAGCAGTTCTGAAGCCAAAGCACAGGGTGCATTTGGGGAAAGGGACAGAATCTGAAGAGGTTTATATGCCTTTTTAGAGCATTTGAAGGTAAAGGAGAGTCTCTGAAGAATTGTAGGCAAGGGGGTACTACATGCAACTTGCATTTTAGAAAGAGCATCTTGAAAGACTGGCAGAAGAATTAAAATTAATTGTGAATTAAAGACCATAGAAGACAGAAGCAAAATAGCTTCCTTTACTGATTTTATAACGGGACTATTTTATGCTCTTATGCAATTTAAAAGAGAACAAGGCAATACTGTTGTCCCTTGGCATCCACAGGAGATTGGTTCCAAGACAGTCACCTCCCCAGCAGATAACAAAATCTGCAGATGCTCAAGTCTCTGATATAAAGTGGCATAGTATTTGCATATAACCTCACATCCTCCCATATACTTTAAATCATCTCCAGATTTTTTATACTACCTCATACAATGTACATGCTATGTAAATTGTTGTTATACTGTATATTTTTATTTGTATTATTTTATTGTCTGTTTTCATTGTTTTTTCTGAATATTTTTGACTCATGGTTGGTTGAGTCCATGGATGCAGAACCTGCAGATACAGAAGGCCAACTGTATGTAACTTTCCTCAGTGAAATAGAACTACTGCTATCCTGTATTGTGGATGTTCAATTCAACAAGAATATTTTTGGTGGAATAGCTATAAAGGAAAATATAATATTAAAAGCAATTATTCCTTTCAAATGAAAGAGGAGGGACACATTGTGTTAAGAAAGGGAACATATATCCTCAAAGACACAGACATGATACAGTTTCTTGTAAGATTTTTAAAAAATCTTCTGTTCATAAATGCACAAATTGCTCATTACTAAACAACTTTAATTTAAACAGTTAATAGAACTAGTTTTGCAATTGCTTGGAAATATACTACAATTAATGTAAGTTTATATATCAGAATTTTTTAATTTTCTTTTAGTTGATTTCGTTTTAAAAGATCCTAGAGAGAAAGAAGATGATAAGAAGATAGATGAACTTCCAGCCCATCGTGCTGAGTAAGTGATCAGATTTCTCTAAGAATGTTGACTATGTGACCGTGTCTGTATATGTTTATATATTTCTATACCAATTATATTTTCTCATATATATGTTTATAATTTATATATAAATAAATGTATATGTGTGTATGTATATATTTCATATACAGGCATGCCTCATCTTCTTGCACTTTACGGTACTTCACCAATACTGTGTTTTTTGTAAATAGTAGGTTTATGAGAGTTTTTTTTTTTTTTTTTGCAACTGAAGGTCTTTGTCAAACAAGTGTATTGGCATTATTTTTCTAACAGCATGTGCTCACTTTGTGTCTCTGTCAATTTTGTAATTTGTACAGTATTTTAAACTTTTTCCATTATTATATCTCTTATTATCTGTGATCAGTAATATTTGATATTACTATTATAATTAACTCGGAAAGCCACAAACAGAACCCATATAAGATGGCAAACTGTGTCAATAAATGTATGTGTTCTGACTCTTCCACCAACCAGTCACTCCCCCATCTCTCTTCCTCTCCTAAGGCCTCCCTAATTCCCTGAGACAGAACAGTATTGAAATTAGGCCAGGTAACCTAAGATGGCCTCTAAGTGAGTTGCATATCTCTTACTTTAAACCAAAAGCTAGAAATGATTAAGCTTAGTGAGGAAGACATATTGAAAGCCAAGACAGGCCAAAGTTAGGCCTTTTGCACCAGTTAGCCAGGCTGTGATTGCAAAGGAAATTGTAAGTGCTGCTCCATTGAACACATGACTGACAAGAAAGCGAAACAGCCTTATTGCTGACATGGAGGAAGTGTTCTGGAAGAAGATAAAACCAGCCTTGATATTTCCTTAAGCCAGAGCCTAATCTGGAACAAGGCCCTAACTCTCTTCAATTCCATGAAGGCTGAGAAAGGTAAGGAAGATGTGGAAGAAAAGTTTGAAGGTAGCAGAGGTTGCTTCATGAGGTTTAAGAAAAGAAGCTATCTCCATAATGGAGCAAGGGTTGAAAAATTATTGGGTTCTGTGTTAGGCTGTTCTTCTGTTGGTGTAGAGAAATACCTGAGACTGGGTGATTTATAAAGGAAAATGGTTTAATTGGCTCACGGTTGTTCAGGTTTTACAGGAAGTATGGTGCTGGCATCTGCTTGACTTCTGGGGAGGCCCTGGGAAGCTTACAATCATGACAGAAGGCAAAATGGGAGCAGGCAACTCACATGGAAAGAGCAGGATCAAGAAAGGGTGAGAGGGAAGATGCCACACACTTTTTTAAACATCCAGATCTCGTGAAAACTCACTATTATGAAGACAGAGCCAAGGGGATGAAGATAAACGATTTGAGAGAAATCTGCCCCATGATCCAGTTACCTCCCAAAAGGCCCCACCTCCAACACTGGGGATTACATTTCAACATGAAATTTGGAGGGGATATACAAACTACATCAGGGACTATGCTGGTACCTGGGTGATGGGAACAATTGTTCCCCAAACCTCAGCATCACACAATATACCCATGTAAGAAACCTACACATATACCCCCTGAATCTAAAATAAAAGTTGAAATTATAGAAAAAATTTTGAAAGGCTATATCTGCCAAAGTGATTTCTCTGAGGGATCTTGGCAAAGTGAATTGAAAACTTTCTGGAAGGGATTCACTGTTGTAGATACCATTAAGAACATTTGTGATTCATACAAGGTGGTAAAAATATCAACATGAGCAGAAGTTTGGAAGAAGTTCAACCCTTATGGATGACTCTGAGTGGCTCAAGAGGAAGTCACTGCAGATGTGTTGGAAAGATGTGTTGGAAGCCAGAGAATAAGAATTAGAAGTATAGCCTGAAGATGTGACTGAGTTGCTGACATCTCATGATAAAACTTGAACAGATGAGAAGTTGCTTCTTATGGATGAGCAAACAAAGTAGTTTCTTAAGATGGATTCTATTCCTGATGAAGATGCTGTGAACACTGAAATGACAATAAAGGATTTAGAGTATTACATAAGCTAGTGATACGGCAGCATCAGAGTTTGAGAGGATTGACTCCAATTTTGAAAGAAATTCTAGTTGGGTATAATGCTGTCATATAGCATTGAATGCTTACAGAGAAATCTTTCATGAAAAGAAGAGTCAACTGATGATGTGGCAAATGTTCTTCTTGTCTTATTTTTAAAAATTGCCACAGCTTGATCAGTTAGAGGCCATTAAGATCCTCTAATCAGCAAAAAGATTATGACTTGCAAAAGTCTGAGATGATTGTTAGTATTTTGTGACAATAAAAGTATTTTAAAATTAGGGTGTATGCATTTTTTTTTCCAAGACAGGGTCTCACTCTGTTGCCCAGGCTGGAATACAGTGGTGTGATCTTGGTTCACTGCAACCTCTGCCTCTGGGGTTCAAGTGATTCTCCTGCCTCAGCCTCCTGAGTAGCTGGCTTTACAGGTGTGCACCACCATGCCCGGCTAATTTTTGTATTTTTAGTAGAGACCAGGTTTCACTATGTTGGCCAGGTTTATCTCGAACTTCTGACCTCATGATCTGTCCATCTTAGCCTCCCAAAGTGCTGGGATTACAGGTGTGAGCCACTGCACTTGGCCTCTTTTTTTCTTTTTTAATTTTTGAGATAGAGTTTCTCTCAGTTGCCCAGGTTGGAGTGCAGTGGCATGATCATAGTTCAGCGCAGTCTTAACCTCCCAGGTGCAAGTGATCCTTTCACATCAGTTTCCCAAGTAGTTGGGACCACAACAGCATACCACTACACCCGGTTAATTTAAAAATTGTAGAGAGTCAGTCTCCCTATGCCCAGGCTGGTCTCAAACTCCTGGGCTCAGAAACTACTCCCGCTTTGGCCTCCCAAAGTGCTGGGATTGCAGGTGTCAGCCACTGTGCCTGGCCCTACATTTTTTAAAAGATATAATGCCATTGCATACTTAATAGACTACAATATAGCATAAACATACATTTTATATACACTGGGAAACCAAAAATTTGTGTGACTTGCTTAATTGCAATATTTGCCTTATGGGGATGGTCTTGAACCAAACCTGCAATATCTCTACTGTAAGCCTCTATATAACTAATTGTTCTTATGATCTTTGTTTATGTATGTATTTAAGTGTAATGTTACATTTATGAGTTGATGGATTGATAGGTAGATGACAAAACGTAGACAGATGGATGCTAAGATGGTTAAAAAGTAAGTACTTGGTGGAAATAATTTGATATAGGGTTTTTAAAAGTCCCTATAGCAACTAGCACAGACTTTAGATATGGTAGGGACATAAAAGCTTGATGGCACAAAAACACATTGGGAACATTGCCGAAGATATATATTGCAGAAGAAAAGAATGCCTTTCAGTTTACGTGGATTGAAATACAGAACACAAAATGGGAAAATCTACTTGCTGTATATTTTCTCTAATGATAATTAATATTTAGGAATAAATCTTAAATAGTTTGAAGGATGGAGCTTATATGATTAACCACTTCAGTTTTATGTTCTTTTGTATCATTTTAAAATGCCCCAAAGGCCAAGCTCAGTGTCTCATGCCTGTAATCCCAGCACTCTGGAAGGCTGAGATGAGCAGATCACTTGAGGTCAGGAGTTTGAGACCAGTTTTGGCCAATGTGGCGAAACCCCATCTCTACTAAAAATACAAAAGGTAGCCTGGCATGGTGGTGTAAACTTGTAATCCCAGCTACTCGGGAGGCTGAGGTGAGAGAATTGCTTGAACCCAGGAGGCGGAGGTTGGAGTGAGCTGAGATTGTGCCACTACACTACAGCCTGGGTGATGGAGTGAGACTCCATCTCAAAAAAAAACAAACCAGAAAAGCCCCAATTATTTCCCATTCCACACATACACACACAAAATGTGTTATGTACCCATTTTCCCATATCCTCTATGGAGAACAACTTTTCTCCTGGGAACGACAAAAATCATCCTTCATAATTGCAAAGGTGGTATAGCAACACATGAAAAATCGAATTAAACTTACTATATAATAAAACAAGACTATGTATTTAAAATCAGTAAGAGTACAAAAGTTATACACATAAAATATGAATGTTTAAATATATTCTGAAAGGTGAAGATAGCACATTTCAATATATAAAAGATTATTATATTAAAGTTACAGGCGTTACAGAATACAGTTGATCCTTAACACAGGGATGAGAGCCACTGAGCCCCTATACCACATATAATTTTTAACTTCCCCAAAACCTAACTATTAATAGCCTACTGTTCATTGAAAGCTGTACTGATAGCATAAACATTCAATTAGCACATTTTTGTGTGTTATATATATAACATACTGAATTCTTACAATAAAGTAAGCTAGAGAAAAGAAAATATTAAGAAAATCATAGGAAAGGTAAAATAAATTTAATATTCAGTAAGTGGAAGTGGATCATTGTAAAGGTCTTCATCCTTGTAATCTTTACATGGTGGTAGTGATAGGAGGAAGAAGAGGAAGTGGCAGGGGTGGAGGAAGGGGAGAAGGAAGAGGGTGAGGGAGAAGGAGTTTGGTCTTGCTGTGGGAGTGTGGGTAGCAGAAGCGGAAGAAAATCCACATCTGCACAGTTCAAACCTGTGTTATTCAAGGGTTGACTATAAATGTGTTTTCAAATAATATTAGAGAGTGTGATTTATAAATGATGTTTAAATATTAACAGAGGATAAGTTCAAGGGGGTTTCTATAGTCAGGTTGGACTATATCCTTAAAATGTTTTAAAAATGAAAATAAAGGAGGAATTTTAAAAATCCAGGGAAAATTAAAATGTATATCCTGAAATTAGAAGATAATCTTTGAGGATGTTTATGAGAGATAGCTGGCTGTTGTTTCCATTTGTTCATTGTAAGTTATTTATGAATTCAATAAGATCAAGTATTTGGAGACAAATTAGTTACATTTGTATTAAAGATGTAAACCTAATTTCAGAATCATTATTATGAAATTATACTAAACCATAAAATATATGATCTTTATATATTTTTAAATGCAATGGCTTGTTTTGTTATGTGGGATGAATCACATATTTTATTAAAATTAATTCATTATTACCCAAGTGTACTTACTATGAAAATACTTTCTTTTGACTTCAAAATAAGGTAATTGAATATTTTCTTTGTTTTCAGAATGGAAATTCTGCCAAAACCTTGGAGGAAATCTTTTTTAGCTGCAAGCAATTATATTAGGGATCATTTGAATGCAATGAACCCCACAATGCTGGCTGTACTAAATTTGTGGCACAGTAATTTTAAGTGAGTATATGTGGCCCTACAGAGCTTTTTCAAATATAGAGGGAAGTTGTTTTACCATATTTTAATTATTTCTTTTACTACTTTTGACTGCAAAGTAAAACATTACTATTTTTAATGTAAGTATTCAAACATAGTTTTAAATAAACAACATAGACGTATATAGAGTAAAAAGTGAACATTGCTTTTCTAAACTTTTAAAATTCTAAATTTTTGTGAGTACATAGTAGATGTATATATTTATGGGGTACATGAGATATTTTGGTAGAGGCATGCAGTGAGTAATCACACCAAGGAAAGTTTGGTGTTCATCCCTTCAAACATTTATCCTTTGCATTACAAACAATTCGTTTATACTCTTTTAGTTATTTTTTAATGTACAATTAAAGTATTATTGACTGTATTCCTCCTGTTGCACTATCAAATACTAGGTTTTATTCTAATTATATATTTTATTTTACCCATTAATGCAATTCTGCTATTAATGGACTCTGATGCATTCTTCAGCATGTTGGTTGTGTTTTTCAACTCTAGAATACTTATTTCAATCTCTTTGTTAAATTTATCTCGTAAAATTCTGAATTCCTTCTTTATGTTATCTTGAATTTATTTGAGTTTCCCCAGAACAGCTATTTTGAATTCTCTATCTGAAAGGTCATATATCTCTGTTTCTTCAGGATTGGTCCCTGGTGCCTTATTTAATTAAGTTCATTTGGAGAGGTCATATTTTCTTAGATGGTGTTGATGCTAGTAGATGTTTGTCAGTGTCTGAACATTGAGGAGTTAGGTGTCTGTTGTAGTCTTCACAGTCTGGGCTTATTTGTTCCTGTCCTTCTTGGCAAGGTTTTCCAGATATTTAAAGTAACTTGGACCCCAAGCCCCATAACACTGTGGTTTTTGCAGACTTGTGGAGGTACTGCCTTAGTGATCTTGGATAAGTTTCAGAAGAATTACCAGGAGGATACTCTTCCTTCTTTACTTTACTTTCTCCCAAACAAATGGAGTCTCTCTGTGCTGAGCCACATAGAGCTGGGAGTGTGGTGATGCAAGCACCTCTGTGGCCACCATCACTGGGACTGCAATGGATCAGACCTGAGGCCAGCACAGCACTGGGCCTTGCCCAAGGCCCTTCCCTTCAGGATAGCAAGTTCCTCCAGGCATGTCCAGAGATATTCTCTGGGAGTAGGAATTGGGGTCAAAAACTGTAGCAATTTACCTTATGTTCTGTCCTACCACAGCTAAGCTGGCACTCCAACCACAATACAAAGTCCTTCCTGCTCTTCCTTTCCTTTCCACAGGCACAAGAGCGTCTCCCTGTGGCCGTTACCACCACTGGTTTATGAGGGGTTCTGCCAGGCCACTACCAGTGCTCACTTAAAGTCCAAGGGCTCTTTCACCAGCTTATGGTGAGTGCTGCCAGGTTTGGGACTCACCCCTTAAGTGATTGGGCTCCCCTCTGGCCCAGAGCAGGTCCAGAAATACTTTCCAAGAGCCTAACCCTAAGGGCCTGTTTGTTGCTCTGCTCCACTGTGACTGAGCTGGTACCTAAGGTACAAGTTCCCTTTACTTTCCCCCCTGCTTTTCTCAAACAGAAGGAGTCTTTCACAATAGCTACAACAGCTGGTAATGTGCTTGGTCACCCCTGAAGCCAGCATATCTCAGAGACCACGACCCTCAGAGTACTTCCTGGGTATCGCAGTTGGTTATTCAGGGCCCAAGGATTCTTTGGTCAGCAGATGATGATTCCTGCCAGGACTGTGTCCTTTCTTTCAAGGCAGTAGATTCCCTTTTGGCCCAGGGGTGTGTCCGGAAATGACATCTGGGAGCTAGCGCCTGGGATAGGGACCTCACACCTCTGGCGCCTTGTCCTGCTGTGACTGAGCTGGTATACAAATGCAAGACAAAGTCCTCTTTACTCTTTGCTCTCCTCTCCTTAAGCAGAAGGAAGGAGTCACATTTGTTGTTGTGAGCTGCACTGCCTGGGGCTAAGGAAGGGATGGCCCAAGTACTTTCTTAGCTGTGTCAGCTGGTGTCTGCCTAGGTCACATGCTACCCTGGCTCACTGGCTCTGAGCCCAGCCTAACCCTAGGAGTTGCCTAGGAATTGCAGTCCTTGGGTCCTAGACCACCTTTCAAATTTACCTGGGACCTTAGAATACTTCACTCTGCGGTGGTGAGGCTTGCCAAGAAACTGAAGTTCTGACCACTGGGATGGCAATTTCCCACCTGCTAGGGCTGGTCCAGATTTTCCCTCCATGCACAGGTGCTGGCTGAGCCCAGGAGGGCTTCAGTCTCTGCTGTGATAAGGCAGCACTGAGTTCAAAGTAAAATCTCTCAGTCACTACATTCTTCCTCACCAAAGTGCATGGATTCAGTCTTCGTGCCACTGCTAGGGGATGGGAGAGGGGTGACATCAGCAGTTGAAGACTGCCTCTCCTGCCCTCCTCAATGTCTCCTTCAGTAGTATGATGTTAAAACCAGATACTGTGATTGCTCACCTAATTTTTGTTTTTCTGATGGTGCTTTTCTCTGTGCAGATAGTTGTTAAAATTTTGTGTTCCAGCTGGGGGAATGAATGGTATAGGCTTCTAGTCTGCCATGTTGCGCCACCTCTGAACATTGCTGTTTATCTCTGTCCCAGTTCACCTCCTCCTCCCCACCCAATCACCATGCATATTTTAATGGTAATCACAGTTGAGGGGCTGAATTATCATACCTTGTCTTAAACTGCACTGAACATTAGCTGCTCTAGTCTTCTAAACAGTTAGGAAACCTAGCAAATATTGCCAAGTGAATGACATGAGGTGATGCTCCTTTGGTGTTGGCCATTGTCTTGCATTAGCCTTTAGCTGGAATGTCTTAGAAGTGAGCTTGGGAAAGTAGGGCTGTGGCCAGTTTCTTCCCATCTTTTCCTGGCTCCTTAGGCAGCCTCTCTTTTTAATAGCCTGCCATCTGTTGCTCCGCTTACCCTCAGAGGAAGGAAGGAAGGAAGACTTTAGGTGCCAGTGAGAGGCCACAGAATGACCAGGTGGTAAAATATGTGCATAAGTGTGAAGGCAGGAGGCAAGAGGGTAACAGGCTGGGAGAAGACCACTCCCCTCATCCTCCAGACTACCTATGCTTGGAGCCAACCCTGTTAGGTAGGATACTGAAAATGTACTGGGCTTTTTATTATTTTTACTACCCCCAAGCAGAGAGGCTCAGGGGAGAAGCAGACCTGCAGCACAGGGTCTCCTTTGAAGTTTCCCAGCCACAGTGTTCTTAAACATTTTATGAAAAAGCAATATAAAAATTCCTTACTGTTGCATCTGTCTTCTAAAGATGACAGCAGCTGGCAGAGCTCATCCACCTCAGCCTAGTTAGCGCTAACATTACGGCTACGGGAGAGTGCCCCTTATTAGCAGGTTCCTCCCCCGGAGCTCTGTACTCTAGGCTGCTTCACAGTCTTCTGCCCACCTTACGCAAATAAAGTCGGGGGTGCACGGACTGTTTCTTAGCCCATTCCCTAGGAAGCTAGAGGGGACAAGGAATTGCTTGTCAACTGAGACATCTGAGAGGTAGCAGGGAAACGCAGACGTAGGAAAAGCAGCAGCACAGCAAGCAGCAGGTCATTTTCTGGGCACAGTCATTAAGGCATGTGGTCATGGTGAGGAGGATTCTTAGGACCTGGCTGGAGTTGCTACAGCCACCTGGGGACCTGGTCTGTGCCTCTTGGCCTCTCTGTCACCACAAACCTAGAAAGGGGCAACCTGCCTGGACTGCCAGTGACCAAATGGGCACTCCAAGGCATCTTAGTAACTCTCCTGCCCCAGGCCTCTGTGGGCAGCAAGAAAGCTAGCGCTACCTGGGATAAAACCCAGGAGGCAACATGCAACTTTCCCTTATACTTCAGGGAAACAACAAAAAAAAGACAAGGCCAGAAAGGCCGATCCTGGAAGTAGGAAGTGACAACTTGCATATTAGGAAGACAATCACAATCAGCCACTTTCCTTCCCCGCTGGAGGCACCCCTCCAGCAGGGAAGTTTGTCAAGGAGATGCCGCCACCCGATCATATAGATGTTTGCTGACCGGGGGTGTTATCCAAGAACCGTCCCTTGGGCAGCCTCCAGTCTCCTCAAGGGGGATGGAAGGTGCTGCTGGCTCAACAGGGCCAACAGATGCAGGACCCTTTAAGGCTGGAGTGAAAGAAGGCAATAGCTTTTCTATAGGAGGAGGAAGGTTCCATTCCCTCCTTATCCTCACTAGAAAAAATCTCTTCCTTATTCCCCATAGAAGGGAATAAAGATGGGAGAGAAGTCTCTCCCTGTGTTCTGGTTTCTGGTTTTCCTTCTCCTTTAAATCTCTGAATTTCCTTTAGGAGGAGAAGATGGGCAGTTTGACTCACTGCAATCTGGCAGATAAAGAGGTTACAACACTGAGTGTACCAGTGCCCAGGTGGTCAAAATAGTAACATGAGTAAAATGACCTTGCTTATATCTTCTTTTCAGGCAGTGACCTACCTGCTCTCATAACTCTCAATCTAAGAGTCCTTGATCAGGAAACCAATGGCATTCTTCCTGAATTAAGAGAATAACCTTGTGTAGAGCTCTGGGCTCTGCAGTGCACTGGATATCCTTAAGTAGCTGTTGCACTGTTTTAAAAAATACTTTGTGCTCTTTGTTCATTTCTTAACCCATGTGATAACCTAACCCCTGATATTTTACACATATGTCTTGTCCTCTTGATGGGAGTCAGAACTGTCCCTTACCGGGATTCCCTGAAAATTGTTAAGCTCTTCACCTTCACGCTAAATTCAAGGTGATCACATCGGGGGCACCAGTTGCAGAGCTTATAGCTTACAGTGAATGCCAAGAACGAAGTACTCAGTTCCAGCTGAGCAGGGCTGGGGACAGCTCTTCTGAGAGAATCTGCCCTAGCACCCAGCCACCAAGTATTTATTGAAAGGGCTTGTGTTAATTAGAAACATCCACTAGATGGCCATTTGAGATGGGTTACTGAGGACCTGGGGCCCTGTGCACACTCAAACTGCAATCTCAGGAGGCTGTTTTCAGCATTTCCTTATCACACCACAGACACCACTCCTTGTCCTGTTTTCAGGGTTAAGTAGTTTCATTCCCATGTACAAATAACATACACAGTGCTTCAGTATTTTTCCATGCCCCAACCTCAAATGGCATGTACAGAAGCTTAAATATGTTGCCATGTGCCCCCTACACAGAAAAGGAGGATTGGCAAAAGCAAAACGTGTTCCTGAGAAAGGGAAAGTTTCATGGGAGAAGCAAGAAATGTAGATACTTCAAGTGGAATTTGTGTGGGAAACTTGGTCTTGGTAAAAAGGGAGAATATTGGTTTTGAGAACCAGAGAACAAAGGTAGAGACTGACTTGATGCTGAGTCCAGAGTATTGGGCCAGGACTGTTGAAATTCCTCCTACCTGAAAATCAGTGACAGGGCTAAGGATCAGAGTGGGTTTCAACTTGGGGTGAGCATTAAGTGACAGTTGTGAGGGCAGGAAGGATATGTGGCTGACAGATGGGCCTAAAAAATTCACTTCTGATTGGATATGGGGAGATAAAGGATAGGAAGAGATCAGAGACAATCCTGAGTTTCATGGTCTGGGTGATTTGGAGCTATTTGGTTCTAATAGAAAATTGAAATGAAGAAGTTATTTTGGTGATTAGAAGACTGATCATCATAAAACTTTTTAAAGAAATTGTGTTTGCTAACCAAATTGAAGCTAATGCATAGTGAGTAATACCTTTTTTCCTGATACTTTCTATTGTCTTAAACCAATGATTTTAAACTATTGTTCCACTGCTGGGTAATTGTAGGAACCATCCCGCGAAAGCAAGAACAGTGTCTGGTAGTATTCTTTCTGTCTTCTTTATAATTTAGCCTATTGACCAAATGGGCAATATTATTTGCAGAGATTTCATGGGAAAGTTATTGCACTATGTAAAACTGTCAATCTCAAAACATCAAAGATGGAATTCTGTGCTTCAAATTCTGTTTCAAATTGAACACTAAGAAACTAAGGAAAATTGGTCTGATGGCTCAATGGCAAGGTGAATTTCAGAGATTGTACCCTTGCAACTACTTTTTATTCAGGGCTATTTCACACCACATGCATCTGTATCCTGATTACAGCTGTAGTTTAAAAATGTAAAATAATGTTGAAAGCATTGACTAAGAAGCTAAAAAGAGATCAGATTATGTTTAATATGTGCTATTATGCTATATTTTAGAAGTATTTTATTTAAAACATTATATTGCTGAATTATGCAGAATAACACATTGGTTCTCTAGCAGTGTTTATAGCTACTTTGTGCCTTATGTATTATTAATGTCATGTACAGAGTGCATTATAACTTAGATGACTTTTAGCTTGTAGAAGAAATATAAATAAATAGATTTGAAATGTGTTTTGTTTACTAACCAGTATTTGACATTGGTCATTAAGGAAACATTAAACATGATGTTTTTTAAGAACATGATGACACTAATGCTAATATTATTCTTTCATTTTAGTTAATCTGCCAGAGAAAATACTTAGCTGAGTAAACTGTGTGTACAACAAAGACCTATAACACTGTAGTCAAAAGAGGGATTGTTTCAAAAGTTGTTGACTCCAGTAATCCCTGTGTTCTTTAAAAAAAAAATCAGACAGGTTCAAGAATTTGATACACTGGTTCTTGATTAGATGTGAGACTTCTTCACCCCATGGCTGCCTGAAGTTTAGGGCTGCTTTCTTTTCAGAGAGGGGACAATTTTTCTTCTCAGAGCAATGGATCCTAGAAGCATTGAGCCCTCACTTTTCTTGTTTAAATAATTATAGTTTAAAAACAAAAACCAGTCTGAACTATCCATCATATCTCAGTTATTACAACTTAATTCTATTTCACAGTGAAATTACATGTTTTATTGTGTTCCTATTGAATTTAATTATATGAATTACTTTTAAAATGAGAATATCTTCTGTTCTTTAACATTTAATTTTATGGAACACAATTTTTAATGATTAAACCTAGGATTATGATATTTTTGAGAAGGGACCAATTAGTAAAATATTAAATACCAAAAGAGTCATTTTTAAGTTACTGTTTATTTTTATCTCTTGCAGAAAATTACGTTTAGTTGATATCGAAGAATTTCATAATCGCCGTGATGCATTAGAGTTGTCAAGTTTTCAGAACATTATTATGAAACACATGGAATCTACCAAAGAAACTCTACTTAAAAGGTAAAGATTTGAAATTTCATGTGGGAAAGCATCAGTTTAAAAATGTCACTGGTGGACTACTGCATTTTAACTGCTTTTAGAAAATCCCATTTTAACATGTTTTAAATCATTTTTATATGAATTAAATATATCTTTAATTATATTAGTCTAATATTTGTCCAGATGCTCTATACAGCATAGATTGTGTAGAAACTAAAATGTTCATGACAAATGGTTACTTTTTTCCTAGATGTCTGCTTTGTACCTGTCCTTTGAGAGGGCTACTGAATACCATGAGGGAATGGTTACCTACTCATTATTCACCAGATATTCATTTGTCATCTACTGTTAATACATGCTAGGCTCTGTACCTCCTTTCATTTTGTTTTTGGATGGGGAAAGCAGAAGAGTTTAAAGAATGATTAGGTGGCGAAAGTATATCGTTTCAATGACTTAATCTCTCTGGAAGGCAGACCTATCAAATGATAATTGAATATCTCCTTGGATTAGCTCTTCAGAATGGAATAGCCACATGTGATAATTCATAATGATAACATAAAAATAGAAAAGAGGTGATAAAATGAAAACACATCATTAACTACAGAGAAGAAAGTGACCTCTTAAAGACAGACAGTATGCTTTGAAATAACTTAGGAAAATTGTTTCTATCATGGGTCACTAAGTTATTATAAACTGGACATTAAAATTAGGTCAAATTTAAGAAAGCAGAGTACATAAAACTGCTGGCATAGTTTCATGGTTTCTAAAAGTTACTTAGATATCTTCATAATTTGAGATTAAATGTTTCCTTTCTCTTACTTGCTTCTCCAATGTGTTAGAATCAAATTATTTGTCTGATATTACTTGAAAAAACTTTAGCCTTTTATATTAGTATTTAGTTAACATAAAAATAGAAAAGAGGTGATAAAATGAAAACACATAATTAACTACAGAGAAGAAAGTGACCTCTTAAGGACAGGATACAAATAAATTATGTTGATCTGTAACTTCTGGGTTATACCCAGAAATATATTATCACTGTAAATTTTAGTTAAACGGGTGTCAAATTACAGAGTAGAGTACAAAACTTTATTGAATTATTTTTCTCAGAAATGTAGATTGATTAGCTGAATCTCTTGATGTTTCCTGATTATCAGAAAAGAACTTTCTGACCATGCTTTAGGTAGTGAGGCAAAAGGCAGAGCATCAGCTCACAGAGGAGAAACAATTAGCAAATGATTAATTATGACTTCTATCCCAAACCCAAGTGCCTTTTTGTTGTTCTCATCTTACACTTTTACTCACAGTTCCTGGTATATCACCCAGACTTCTGGAAAGCCACTTTTCCTGTGCTGCTGTGTTTCTCTAGTTCTTCTTCCATTTATCTTTTTCTGGCTTTACTTATTATTCCCTACAAGTAGGGTTCCCCAGGTCTTTGTTGTTCTCTCCTTTATATTCTCTTGATACTTTCATGATTTCATCTGTCTCAAGATACTGTATTCTGAGCTTTAGGCCTTTCTTACCAATTTTTTAAATTGATACACAATAGTTGTATATATTTATAGGGTACATATACTTACGGAATATTTTGATGCATTCGTACAATGAATAATGATTCAATTAGGGTAATTAGCATATTCATCACCTCAAACATTTATTATTTCTTTATGTTGGGAGCATTCTAAATCTTCTCTTCTAGTTATTTTGGAGTATACTATAAATTCTTGTTAACTATAGTCACACTATGTTGCTATCAAACACCAGAACTTGTTCTATCAGCTGTAGTTTTCTATTAACCAACCTCTCTTCATCCTCCATACCATCCCTACCTTTCCTATTCTCTCTTAACCACCATTCTACTTACAACGTCAATGATGCCATTTTTTTTTTTTTAGCTTCAACATATGAGTAAGAGCGTGTGATATTTGTCTTTATGTGCCTGGCTTATTTCAGTTAACATGATGTCCTCCAGGCTCATCCATGTTGCTGCAAATGACAGGATTATATTCATTTTTATGACTGAATAATATTTCATTGTGTATCTATATATACACTACATTTTATATACTATATTTTGTGTACATTTTATATTTTATTTACATTTTATATACTACACACACACACACACACACACACACACACACACTGTATTTTCTTTATTCACCCACTGATGGGCCAGGTTGATTCTGTATTTTGGCTATTGTGAACAGCACTGAAATAGACATAGGAGTGCAGATATCTCTTTGATATATTGATTTCCTTTCTTTGGGATACATACCCAGCAGTAGAATTACTGAGTTATATGGTAGTTGTAATTTTAGTTTCTTGAGGAACCTCCATAGTGTTCTCTATAGTGATTTACAAATTTGTGTTGCCAACATGTATGAAAGTCCCCTTTTCAGCTAGGTGTCTCACATCTGCAATCCCAGCACTTTGGGAGGCTGAGGTAGGTGGATCACTTGAGGTCAGGAGTTTGAGACCAGCCTGGCCAGCATGGTGAAACCCCATCTCTACTAAAAATACAAACATTAATTGGATGTGGTGGTACATGCATATAATCCCAGCTACTCAGGAGGCTGAGGTAAGAGAATCGCTTAATCCTGGGAGGCGGAGGTTGCAATGAGCTGAGATTGCACCACTGCACTCCAGCCTGGGCGGCTGAGTGAGACTCTGGCCCAAGAAAAAGAAAGGGGGTGTGGAAGGAGGAGAGAGAGAGGAAGGAAGGAAAGAGTTCTTTCTCTGTATCTTTGCTAGCATCTGTTAGTTTTTGTACTTTTGATGGTAGCCATTTTAACCGGAGTGAGGTGATATCTCAGTGTGCTTTTGATTTGCATTTCCCTGATGAATTGGAATGTTAGGCATTCTTCATATACCTGTTGGCTATTTGTATGTTTTATTTTGGAAAATGTTTGTTGAGATTATTTGCCCATCTGTAGTGAGATTATTTGGATTTTTGCTGCTGTTTGAGTTCTCTATGTTTTCTGGTTATTGATCCTTTGTATGATGAATAGTTTGCAAACATTTTTTCCCATTCCATAGGTTGTCTCTTTATTTTGTCTAGATAATTTCCTTTGCTATGCAAAGCTTTTTAGCTTAATGTTATCCTGTTTGTTAATTTTTGCCTTTCTTGCCTGTGCTTTTAGGTATTCCTCAACATGTCTTTGCCCAGACCAATATAATACTGAATCTCTTTAGTTGAATGTCTTGTCAGCAGCTGAATCTCAGCATTTTCATAGTAACGCTTATTCTCTTTCCTCCAAACCTGCTATTCTTCCTTTTGTGAACCATTCCTAGGCCAAGTTGAAAGCCTTGTGACTTTTTTTGGTTCTCTTTTTAAATTTTATGTAGGAAAACATGAAACTTTAGTTCTGCTTCCAGCAATACCCAATGTATTGCTATTCTTTTTTTATTGAGAAATAATTCATTTATCATAAAATTCACTATTTTAATGTGTACAATTCAGTAGTTTATAATATATTCACATGGTTATGCCACCATCACAACTAATTATAGAATATTTTCATTTTCACCAAGCAGTATAGTTTAGATGTTTTTCCCCTCCAAATCTCATATTGAAACATAATCCCCTGTGTTGGAGGTGTGGCCTGGTGGAAGGTGTTTGGGTCATGGGAACAGATCACTTATGAATAGCTTGGTTCTGTCGTCATGATAATAAGTGAGTTCTTGCTCTGAGTTTACACAAAATCTGGTTGTTTAAAAGTGTGTGGCACCTTCCTCCTTGCTCTAGCTCTGGCCACAATGACATGGCTGTTTCCCCTTCACCTTCCATAATTATAAGTTCCTGAGGCCCTCACTGGAAGCAGATGCTAGAACCATACTGGTACAGCCTGTAGAATTATAAGCCAATTAAACCTCTTTTGTTTTTAAATTACCCAGTCTCAGATATTTCTTTATAGCAACATAAGAATGGCTTAACACATCCTAGAAAGAAGCTCCGTACCTGTTTATTCACCCACTGATGAGCCTGGTTGATTCTGTATTTTGGCTATTGTGAATAGTGCTGCAATAGACATGGGTGTGCAGATATCTCTTTGATATATTGATTTCCTTTCTTTCCATTTCCCATTCTTCCACCCAAAGGTGCCTGGTAACTATACTAATATACTTTTTGTTCCTATGAATTTCTCTGTACTGGACATTTTATCTCAGTGAAATGATACAACATGTGGTCATTTATGCCTGATTTCTTACAGGAAGCATAACATTTTCAAGATTCATTCATATTATAGCATGTATCAATATGTCATTTTTTTCTCATAGCCAAGTAAGATTTCATTGTATGGATATAAAACATTTATCCAATCATCAGGTGATGGACATTTGGCTTGTTTCTACTTTTTGGCTGTTTTTGCTATGAGCATTTATTTTGTGTAAATACATTTTTTAATTCTCTTGGGTGTGTACCTAAGAGTGAAATTGCTACATTGTATGGTAATTCTAACTTTTTGAGGAATAGCTGCACTGTTTTCCCAGTGACTATAAGATTTCACATTCCTAACAACAATTTATGAGAGTTCCAGTTTTTCTACATACTTTCTAACACTTGTTATTTATTGTTCATCTTTCTGCTTGTAGCCAACCTCATGGTTATGAAGTTGTATCTCATTATGGTTTTGATTTGCATTTCCCTAATGACCAATAATGTTGACTGTCTTTTTATGGGTTTATTGTCCATTATTTATTATTGTTGGAAAATGTCTATTCAAATCATTTGCTCATTTTTTACTGGATTATATGATATTTTATAATTGACATGTAAAATATCAGATATTTTGTTGTTGAGGTGTAAGAGTTCATTGTATGTTCTGGATATTAGACCTTTATTATATGATTTGCAAATATTTTTCCTATTGACAGTGTCCTTTGAAGCACAAATATTTTTAATTTTGATGAAGTCTAATTTATCTGTTTTTTTCTTTGGTTGCTTGTGCCTTTGGTATCTGCTAATAAAGATGTATTTGAGACTGGGTGATTTATAAAGGAAAGAGGTTGAATTGACTTACAGTTCCACATGGTTGGGAGGCCTATGATCACCATGGAAGGTGAATGAACAGCAAAGCCCTATCCTACACGGTGGCAGGCAAGAGGGCAAGTGAAGGGGAACTCCCTTTTATAACACCATCAGGTCTCATAAGATGTATTTACTGCCACAAGAAGAGCATGGGGAAAACTGCCCCTATGATTCAGTCATCTCCACCTGGCCTCACCTTTGACACATAAGGATTATTACAATTCAAGGTGAGATTTGGGTGGGGACACAGCCAAACCATATCAGTATCATATCCAAAGCCACCTAGATTTATCTGTCTACTGGTGTGTTCTATAAAATATAGAACTAATCATTCTATAGTTTTAGCTCCTAAATTTAGGCCTTTTTGACCATTAAAATGAATTCATTTTAACTTATATATGATCTGAGGTAGGAGTGCAAATTCATTATTTTGCATGTAGATATCTGGTAGTCTGAGCACTATTTGTGCAAAAAACTCTTCTCATTGAATTGTATGGGCATCTTTGCTGAAAATCATTTGACCATATATGTGAGGGTTTATTTCTGGGCTCTCTTTTCTGTTTCATTGACCTATTTGTCTTTATGCCAGTACCAAACCGTTTTGAGTACTGTAGCTTTGTAGTAAGTTTTGAGATCAGGAAGTGTGAGTTTTCTAATTTTGTTCGTATTTTTCAAGATTATTTTGGTTGCTCTGCGTCCTTTGTATTTCATATGCATTTTAGTATCAATTTGTCCATTTTTGTAAAAAAGCCATTGGGATTTTAATAGGGAATGATTTAATCTGCACATTAATTTTAGGAGTATTGTCATCTTAATATTAAGTCTTTCAATTCATGAACACAGGATGTCTTTGGATTTATTTAGTTCTTCTTTAATTTCTTTCAACAGTGTCTTGAAACATGTTGAAAGAAATTACAGACCTAAAATACATACTAAAAACTTTCAGTATAAAATTAAAAAATATAAATTAAATCAAAAATGTAATACTTATATACTGAAAGTTTTCAATCTTTTCTAAGTATTATTTTTTCTAAGTATTATCTTTTCTAAGTATTATTCTTAATGTTATTATAAATGGAATGCACTTCTCAATGTCATTTTCAGATTGTTTATTGCTAATGTGTAGAAATACAACTGAATTTTACATATTGATCTTGTATTCTACAACCTTACTAAACTTATTTATTAGCTTTAATAGATTTTGTATGGATTCTTTATGGGTTTCTTTTCTCTATTTGTGGATGATATAAGTTTACTTCTTCCTTTTATATCTGGTTATGTTTTTTTCCTTTTCTTAGCTAATTTCCCTGGTTAGATCCTCCAGTACAATGTTGACTAGCAGCAGCAAGAGTGGATATGTTTTTCTATCATGCAGTATTAGATTTTGTAAAATGAATTTTGAATCTATTGAGATAATTGTGTGATTTTTCCCTTTTATTAATATAGTGTATTATATTGATTTTCATGTATTGAACAAACCTTGCATTCCTGAGGAGATAGATTCTACCTGATCATGGAGATAGTCCTATTTTTTTTGTTGTTGTTATTGTTGTTTTGACAGGATCTTGCTCTGTCATCCAGTCTGGAGTGTAGTGGTGTAATCTTGGCTCACCCTCTGCTTCCTGAGTTCAAGTGATTCTCATGCTTCAGCCTCCGAGTAGCTGGGACTACAGGCATGTGCCTAGCTAATTTTGTTCACTTTTGTAGAGACAAGGTCTCACTATGTTGCCGGCTGGTCTCAAACTCTTGGACTCAAGCAATCCTCCTGACTCAGCCTCCCAAAGTGTTGGGATTACAGGCATAAGTCATCACATGTGATCATATAATCCTTTTTATGTGCTTCTGGATTTGGATTGCTAGTATTTTGTTGAGGATATTTGTGTTTTTATTCATAAGGGGTATTGGTCTGTAGTTGTGTGTGTGTGTGTGTGTGTGTGTGTGTGTGTGTGTGTGATGTCATTATAGTTGGTATTTATGGTAATAGTGGCCTTATAAAATGAGTAAGAAAGTATTCTTTTCTCTTTTCCTTTTTTGTTTGTGAATTCTTTACAAACCAAACATTTGGTTTGGTGTTAATTTTTTAAATGCTTGTTAGAACTACCAGTGAAGCCATCTAGTCCTGGCCTTTTTTTCTGGAAGGTTTTTAAATTATTAATATTAATTTGATCTCTACTTGCTGCAGGTGTATTACAATTTTCTCTTTGTTTTGGAATCAGATTTGGTAGTTTTTGCCTTCCTAGACTTTGTCTACTTTTTTTAGATTATCTCTTGACAAATGTATATTATATCCCTTTGAATTCTATTTCTGTAAAGTAAGTATTAATGTCTCCCCTTTTATTCCTGATTTTAACAATTTGAGTCTTCTCTCTTTTTTCTTGGTCAGTTTAGCTATAAGTTCATGAGTTTTGTTGATCTTTCAAACAATCAACTTTAGGTTTGTTGATTTTTCTCAATTTTTCTACTTAATTTTTTTTGTTTGGACTTAACATCTTTATTCCTCCCTTCTTCTTCTTGTTTAGTTTTCTTTTCTTGTTATAGTTTCTAGTGAAATTATATGTTATTTAATTAAGATATTTCTTTTTTTTGAGACAAGGTATTTTGTTATAGTTTCTAGTGAAATTGTATGTTATTTAATTAAGATATTTCTTTTCTTTCTTTCTTTCTTTTCTTTTTTTTTTTTTTTTTGAGACAAGGTATCACTCAGTTGCCCAGGCAGGACAGGAGTGCCGTGGCATGAACATGGCTAATTGCATCCTCGACCTCCTGGGCCCAAACCATCCTCTCACCTCAGCTTCCTGTGTAGCTGGGAACACAGGCACATGTCACCATGCTGAGTCTGAGAGAGAGAGAGAGAGAGTGTGTGTGTGTGTGTGTGTGTGTGTGGCGGGAGGGGTGGGTAGAGACAGGCCTTCACCATGTTGTCCAGGCTGGTCTTGAACTCCTGGACTCAAGAGATCCTCCCAACTTAGCCTTCCAAAGTGCTGGGATTACATGCATGAGCCACCACGCCCAACCCTCTCTTGTTTTTGACATACGTGTTTACAGCTAAAAATTTCTCTCTGATCACTAATTTTGCTGCATTCCCTGAGTTACGGTATGTGGTGTTTTCATTTCCATTCACCTTGTTTTCTTATTTCCCTTATGATTTCTTCCTTGAGTCATTGCCTATTTAGAAATGTGTTGTTTAGTTTAGACACGTTTGTGAATTTCTAAGTGTCCTTCTGTTATTGATTAATGATTTTGTGTGATTTTAATCCTTTTACATTTGTTGAGACTTATTTTATGATCAACTATTTTTGATCTACTCTCAAAGCATCTTGCATGTGTATCCCAGGACCACTACTCTTGGCAGGCCCTCTTTACCTCCTATATAGCCTATTGCAAAATCTGAATAACTGCCATATTCCTTTGTCTCTGGTATCTTCCTTTTTCAAGCCTAGACTACAAACCACTGCCCGATGAATCTTAAAATACTCCCCAGTTCAGTGCCTCCCTTTTGTTGACAAAGTAAGTCCATATTTCTTAATATGCCTTTTAAGATTTTCTGCAATGTAGATCTAACTTGCCTTTTCCATCCTCAGTTCTGAAAAGACTTTTTCCAGTTCTGCAGACTTAAACTAACTTCATCTCTTGCCTGAACTGGACCTTCCTTCGTGCATATCTTCCTGCTTTCTATTTTATTGTCTCTATTTTAGACACTGAAATGATCAGACAACCCTACCAACTCCATTTATTTTTCCTTTTTTTAAAAAATTGTACTTTAGGTTATCTCTTAAGGAAAGCAATATTAATATTTTTAAATTCTGTAGTGTCAGAGAGTGGTTTTATAAGTTGAAAACTTTGCTTGTTATGATGTGCCTATATATGAAATTACACTGTTATCCTTTTATTACAAGGACACATACACATTTGACACTTTGTTTTAGATCAGACACCCTTTCAAGATACCCCATTAAGGGGAATGAGAAAATAAATACCTGATTTTGTTGATTTGTATTGTTAAGTCACTTTAAACAGATATAATAGCATAAAACAACCAAGTGTATTTAACATGGTATAAGCCCTCCCTTGGTTAATCAGTTATTCACATTTTAAATTTAAACTAACAAATATATTCCCTAGAGAACATTTAGGAGATTGGAGAAGAGTATTTTGTAATATCCAATAAAGTTAGTTCTCATATTTCTTCAAAAAGTCAGGAGTTATAGTTCCAGGAGTTAGAATTATGTCTTTCTCACAGCATCACATCACTGAGTCATTTTCTATTGGCTAAGATTTAAAATTTCTTTTCCTATAAGTGAAATATTTTAGCACTTACATTTCAGAGAGTGGGTAATATCATTTAGCAATAAACTTCTCTATGAAGACCTTTGGATGTCCAGAAATTACTGTTAATGCTTAGTATTAAAGAAGTAATTCACTGAAAGCATTGACTTTTAAAAGTCTTTTGTTCTTTCAAGGTGGTTGCCAGAAGTGCAGAATATTTATTACCAAGGTAATAAAAAAAAGCATTTGCCAACTGGTGACAGCAGTGCCAAATTGGAATCTTTTTTCAACTGTGCTGCTGCGCTTATGACTTTACAGCTGCAAGATCTTGCTTTAGTCTCCATGCAAGATTTCACGGACTTAATTGCACAACCCCCAGTAAGTATGGTTCAGTTCACCAATACGTATTTACATATTTATTTATTTTCAATTCTTTCAGAGAGGAAAATAATATCTTTATCAGTGAGAGAACAGAAAATGCATCTTTAGACCAATTACACTTTAAAAAAGTAAAAGCATCAGCCAGGCATGGTGGCTCATGTCTGTAGTCCCCACTAGTCAGGAGGCTGAGGTGGGAGGATCACTTGACGCCAGGAGTTTGAGGCTGCAGTGAGCCAAGACTCTGCCATTGCACTTCAGCCTGGGCAACAGAATGAGACCCTATCTCAAAAAAAAAAAAAAGTTAATGTCAACCTGCATGTTTAGGAGATAGAATTCTCATGACTCTAGGTGAATATTAGTGAAAATTCACGTAATTGGAAAATTTGGGTTATGAAGGGTGGAGAAAGTTACCATGAGGTAACTTTTGCAGAGAAGAACCTTTTCTCTCTCTGGAGGAAGGTCCTGTTACAGTGTGAGCAGGGCCTTGGAATTGGAGTGTTCTCTGCTTGGGCTCTATCTTATATGATTCTAGAACTCCATTGCTGTGCACACTTGTTTTACTGGGACTTTGACCCTGTAGTTGACCTGTAGGCCCAATGGATACTGGTTACCATCAGCCGTAGCTCAGAATCACTCTTGCTGTTTTTATTAGAGTTCTTCCTTGTCTTAACTATCTGTGTCATAAGAAGAAGTGTGGGTTCCCATGTATTCTAATTGGGACTGGTGTACTAGTTAGTCAATTGCAATTCATATGTATGTATATATTTATACAAAATCTTTAAATTTTTTTGCAGGATTCTGTTAGAGCTTTTGAACATCCGGGTTTCATCATGAGGCTGATTCTTGATAAGGACACCATTAAATTTGAACCTGAGTTTAGTGACTATGTAGATATCTTTGTAAATGTTTATGATGTCATGATTAAAGCTATCAGTTGTGTGCCAAGAGTTGAGACAAAATTATATTCCAAGTGGGTAAGTAACAAGGATATTAAGATTGCTTGAATTTGCATAATGATATTCACTTAAAGTAACTTCTGAAAGGTGTAGACAGACATCCTCTGCTTCATAGAATATAAATAGCCTTGTAATACTGGCTTATAAGAATGTTTTGCTAAAAAACTACCATTTCCCAAATGGCTTCTCTTAAAATAAACCTACGTTCCTAGTCTAGTCTTCTTTGGACTTAGCTGAAAACTTTATGAAGAGAAGGGATTAAAGTTGTGATCAGGTTTGAAGCAGCAAATGAGTGTCTACTGCAGCTCTTATACCATTTCTGGTAAACTCATGCCATGCTGCAGTCCTCCTTATGATTTTCCAGCTCTATAAAACTGTCCTCGAATTTATTACCTCCTCATATACCTTTTTCCATAATAGTGAGCTCCTTTGCATTTTCAACTCATAGATCTAATCTACATTTCCATAGAAGTTACTGCAATCTAGTATTTGAAATGAGAATGTCTGAAAATTCTTAAACTTGTAATATTTTCTAGTTTTGTAAGTCCAATCAGTAGCTTTCTTCTAATTTTTCTGTGTTTAAAATAGTTTATACATATTTTCTGTATACAAGATAGTGTAGGAAACTAGTGTGTAAAGAGTGAGTAAAGGCTTCAGTATTAATAAGGTCAATACCTACATAGGTGCAGCCCATCTTGAGGGATAGAATATACTGGTACCTTTAAGCCCTTCCCCTTTGTTCCTTCTTGTTTATCTCCTTATCTTTCCATCTTTCAGTGAAAGAATCACCATCCTAAAGTTTGGGGTTTTCTTAATTTTGAAAAATAGACTTACTACTTGTTTATTACTAAACAATTTGTGTTTAGTTTTTCCATGTCTTTGTATAAGTGGAAGCATCTAAGTAATCGATGATTTGCTTATTTCACTTAAAATTATGTGAAATTATCCATTGGAAGGACACTATCCTTTTTACTGAGTTTCCAACTCTAAGTTCAGTCAGGAAGAGAAGGAATGAGATGAACTGATCCAAAGTGCACCCTGGACCTCAAACTGTAACCATGGATTCAGAGATTTAAAGGTTAGCTTATGTTATGTATCAAGATATTTGAAAACTTAGTGGCCTTAAAGACCAAAGTGTATAAGTTGTGAGAGCCCCTCCAGAAACAAGACTTGAAGTGCCTGACTCAACAGAGAGCCTACAGATACATTTGGCAAGTACCCAAGGACCAATTGAGGTTTACTTCTGTCCAGAAGAGATGGAAAAACACACTCCAGTGAAAACAACCAACCAAGATCACAGTGGGAATATCCCTAAAGCCAATTCGGAAGACTTGGATTCAACCAACTCAGGACAAAGCAGTTGGTCAATTTCTATAAGCAAACCTTTCTCCCTTGGCCTCTCCAGCCGACTTCTTACAGCAGACTGAGGACTAAATTCCTTCTAACCTGGAAGGACTGATTGTGAACTCAGTGCTTTCCCCTGCTGCAAGAGGACTATCTCCTGAGCCATGGGAAGAAGGAAGGCATCAGTGATCTCTTTGATGCTGATGATTTATAAAAGTTTTCACCAGTGGAGACCAAGTATAGTTGATTATGCTTCGTGTGAATTCTCCTTACAAATCAATTTTTTTTTATCATGGGACCAGAACGTCTGTCATGCAATGCAGTCTGTTCCTACATTTTCTTCCTCCAAGAAATTGCCTTGAAGTAAACTACAGACTTCAGAAGAAAGCTGACATTTTATTGAATTTAAAAAAATAAACAACTTGTCTCAAATGCACAGTTGCAGGCTCCCTTGAGAAGACTCTGCTTTGCTCCATGCTCCAAAATCTTCTTGATAAGTCAGCAAGTGAGAAAATGTGCAATCAGATGTTTCTTGCTCTTTTTCTTCCTCCCTCCCTTCTTCTCGGATTGGCTTGCTGTGCCTGACAGATGGGCTGTAGAATGGGGTCTGGCCACCTGGCCCACTGGTAAGCAACGATCTTCCTATTAGCATTTCAAGCTGTGCCTTCTCCACAGAATGTATGCTTTTGGGGTATGCTAATATGGAATGGAACTGCGGCAAATGCAAACTTGAAGTCATGCAAAAATATGAAATGGACTTCAGCTCCTCTTAGGAATATTTAAATTACTATCACAGTTCAATTTCAGCTATGGACTGTGTGTCCCAGTAGGAGAGGACACAAAACTCCTCAAAACCTTTAAAACCTCCATAGCCTTTAGGATGAAGAACCTGTTTTCAGATATACTTGTTGCAGTTACAGAAGCCTAGTAGAGTTCTGCCACTCTAAGCTGTTGTGGATTTTTCTGTCTCCATAAACTACGTCCACTCCCCCATACCCAGCGTATTATTTGTGAGTTTCCAGTTGATTTGCAGCAAATGCCTACTTAGTTCTTTGTAGATTGTTTTAGACTTTTAATTTTTTTAGCTGCCATTTATATATTCCTGTGGCAATCATCACCATCTAAATTTAATTGCTTACTTTGTAGCACATTTTACAAATTCACATTACATAAGCAGAGGGATAGAACCTCTACTGATTAGAGTATCGAAACCTGTGTGATCTAAGATTTGTCAGGCTCTGCAAGAAGCGTAACATATTGCTTCCACTCCCAGCTTGGAGCAAGTCAGTCCTGGGCCTGGCTGACATGAGTGACCCATTGGAAAGGAGAACCAGGTCAGATGATGTAACAGTCCCAAGGAGCAGCAGGTATGGATCCCTTAAGCCTTGGGCTTCCCAGGCCCTGTGAGTGGGGAAAAGACTCTCCTATGCTGCACTCAGGGATACCATATCTCAGGATGGGGTCAGGTAGAGAGGCCTCTACAAAAAGACATTCCCATTGTATGAGTGGCATTTTCTTAAGCTGGCAGGAACAAGGGACTCCCACTGTGTCAGGGGCTGGAATCATTCTGGCTAGACCCTGTTCCCCTTCCTCTATGAAGGAATGAGTTGGACCAAGGAAAGTCAGGACATGGAAAATGGAGCAAAAGAATGCCAGGGCATCTCCCTCTTTACTCTTCAGGAATGCTGTCCCAAGTTGGAAGGTTTTTGTCAGCTCCAAGTCCTACCAGTTATGTTGAAGAATAGCCTTCCCACTGGCAGGATGCAATGGCCAACTGCCACTGGGAATATGGTGTAGTATCTTCAATCCATTTTTTGGATGCTAAGGACTGTGGGAATGAGGGAGTGAGATAAAGAACAAACCTCAAAATGAACGGTTAAATTGAAATGCTGTATGCTGGACCCAGTGGCAGACACACAGTAGGCACTCGACTCATACATGTTTAACTGAAATTGGAAATATCCCTTAGGAAATAAAAACAAAACAACCACAAAAGCCACAACTAGTTTACTCCAGGTAGATTTCTGCAATTTGCAAAGTGTTGGTGGGATCAAGACAGATGACATAGCGCTTTAAACTCTGTGGGTTTGCATGGGTGTATGTTTGGGGAAAAAAACAATGGTGAAGACTATCTGCCTTTTTCTTCAGCCTCCATCTGTGGTCTCCTCCCCTCACACACACTGGACATGGTACAAAATATCGATGTGGTCCAAGATGAAGCATTGGGGTGGAGGAGAGAGAGGAAGTTTTGTGTTGTGTCTACTGGAAATGCACTGTGTTTCTCCCCCACCCTTGTTTGGGAAATCATTTGTGCCAAGCTTTTCCCCATTTCCCATGTCTGTCTCATCTGGTTAGCTGCCTCTACTTCCAGTTTGGTGTAATTATCTTTGCTAGCTGCACAAAGCTGATTTTTTTTTTTTGAAAGTCTGAGGACTGAGCTCACCTGGTTTAGGTTATTGTGTGTTTTGTTGAAACTTCTTATAAGGTAATGCCATATTTATTGTTTTAAAAACTAAAGGAATCCTAGTAAGTTTTAAAAGTTTCTTCATGCATAAGATTTTTCCAGGGGGGAGGATCCAAGATGGCCGATCGCTAACATCTCGGGATTGCAGTTCTCAGTTAAAGTGCAGAGAACTAGAGGACGTCACACTTTCAGACAAATTCAGGTCGCTCACGGAGCATAATATCCCCAGAGGAGGAGTCGAACGGGTCGCCAGCACAACTCTTGTGGCCAGCACGGCGGTTTCGCCGGCACCTCGGCGGCAGCTCTTGGAGCAGAGCAAACAGGGCTGGCTTCCCTTCGGACCGAGGTTTGGAGGACCCACACGGGCCCCCAGCATGTCTCCTGAGGCCAGCGCAGCAGCTGTGACAGCACCTCAGCGCGGCAGCTCTTGATGCAGAGTAAACGAGACTGGTTCCCCTTCTGACCAAGGTTTGGAGCCCCGGGAAGGCAAAGTTGCCTATTTTGGACACAAGAAGGAAGCCAGACAGGAGAATCCTGGGCAGAAAAGCACCATCAGTCTTAACGCCGCTGTTCTGGCCCTGGGAACTAACAACTTGGACGTCCACTCAAGAGACCTAATCTGAAAGTTGGTAATGTCAAAGATGACAGGAGGATAAATTTACAATGATGGGAAGAAACCAGCGTAAAAAGGCTGAGAATACTCAAAATCAGAACGCCTCTCCCTCTAAAGATGATCACAGTTCCACATCAACAATGGAACAAGGCTTGATGGAGAACAAGCACATCCCAATAACAGAATCACACTTCAGGGAATGGATAATAAGAAACTTCTGTGAGTTAAAAGAACATGTTGTAGCCCAACGTAAAGAAACTAGGAACTTTGAAAAAAGGTTTGATGAAATCCTATTGAGAATAGACAACTTAGAGAGGAATATAAGTGAATTAATGGAACTGAAGAATACAATACAGGAACTCCAAGAAGTATGCACAGGTTTAAACACTCATTGTTCAAGCAGAAGAAAGGATATCAGAAGTCAAAGTCCAACTTAATGAAATAAAACAAGAAGACAAGATTAGGGAACAAAGGATAAAAAGGAATGAGCAAAGTCTCCAAGAAATGTGGGACTATGTGAAAAGACCAAATTTATGTTTAATAGGTGCACCTGAATGCGACGAAGAGAATGAATCCAAGCCGGAAAATACCCTTCGGGATATTATTCGGGGAAATTTTCCTAAACTAGCAAAGCAGGTCAATATTCAACCCCAGGTAATACAGAGAACACCACAAAGATATTCCTCAAGAAGAGCAACTGCAACGCACATAATCATTAGATTCACCAGGGTTGAAACGAAGGAGAAAATACCAAGGGCAGCCAGAGAGAAAAGTCAGGTTACACACAAAGGCAAGCCTATCAGACTTACAGCAGATCTCTCAGCAGAAACTCTACAAGCCAGAAGAGAGTGGGGGCCAATATTCAACATCCTCAAAACACAGAACCTTCAGCCCAGAATTTCATATCCAGCCAAACTATGCTTCACAACTGAAGGAAAAATAAAATCTTTTGCGAACAAGCAAGTACTCAGAGATTTTATTACCACCAGGCCTGCTTTACAAGAGCTTATGAAAGAAGCATTACACACAGAAAGAAACAACCAGTATTAGCCTTTCTAAAAATATACCAAAAAGTAAAGAGCACCAACATAAAGAAGAATTTACATCAACGAATGGATAAAACAGCCAGTTAACATCAAAATGGCAGTAACCCTAAATTTAAATCTACTAAATCCCCCAATCAAAGACACAGCCAAAACCCAATGGCATGTTACATACAGACCTGTTTCACATGCAAGGATACACAAAGACTCAAAGGGATGGAGAAAGATTTACCAACCAAATGGAGAGCAAAAATAAATAAATTAATAAATAAAAAGCAGGAGTTGCAATTCTCGTATCGGATAAAATAGATTTTAAAGCAACAAAGATATAGTGGTAAAAGGATCAATTCAACAACAAGAGCTAATGATCCTAACACCCAGATACATAGAGACTTAGATTCAATGAGACAGAAAATTAATAAGGATATCAAGGACTCAAACTTAGATCTGGAACAAGTAAACTTAATAAATATTTATAGAGCTCTCCACTTCAAATACACAAAATATACATTCTTGTCAATACCACATCACACCTACTCATAGGTTTAAATGAAACATTGATTGGCCATTATTAATACCCATTTTTTTTTTCAGAATAAAGCAATATTTCCATTCACCCTCCCTCCTTCTCCCTCTCCTTTACTCATTTTTTTCTTTCCTTCTCTCAAAAAAATAAAAAATAAAAATATAAAAATTAACTTGTAAACCTCTAGATCTAGGTCAGCAATGTCTCTCTCATTGCTTGATTTCCTTCCCTCCCTCCCTCCCCACTTCCTCCCTTCCTTCCTTCACCCCTTCCTTCCTTCACCCCTTCCTTCCTCCCTCCCTCCCTTCTTCCCTCCCTTCCTGCCTTCCTCCCTTCCTCCTTCCCTCCCTTCCTGCCTTCCTCCCTTCCTCAAAAAAAAAAATATTTTTTCCAGTTACTGGGCTTAACCTGGTATACATTAATTAGATGCCCATACTGTATTCTTTCATTAGTCATTTTCTTTTTGACTTAGTAACTGAGTACACAAAGTGAGTTAGTAAGTACTACAGTTTTGCTTTACTTTAAGTTCTAAGTATGCAGGTTTCCTGGTACCATTTGTTGCTGCTGTTAAAGCTCACATATTATATGACTGAAAGTTACAAGTCTGCAAATTATGACTGCATGAGCCTTAGAAAATAAAATGTATAAAGGGCAACACATTAGCATGGCAGTGTTAGGTGTGTGTTTATATGTACAGAGTTGTGCATAGCAATTGTCTTATTGAAGTTGATACATAGTTTGCTCACATTTTCATTATCTAGCAATTTTTTACAAAGGTAGAAACTAATTTGTAAACTGCCAGAATATTTTCTAGCTGGTTTGTAATTTTTTTCAACATGCTATTTTGGTTTTGTTGTTGTGGTGGTGGTTCTTATTTTCACTTTTGTTTATATGTAGATTTGTAAATAGAATTGCAGTATTTAAAGCTTAAGCTTTCAGGAAAATAAGAATTCACTGTGTGCATGACAACTCATGTGTATAAGAAGGAGGGATTTGAAGGAAGATTGCTTGCAGAGAAAGTTTTGGCAACTGTCAGCGTCTGGGGGTATTTTTCCTACAGAGTACATGATTTTGTAGACAGGAAATATCTCTGCAAAAATTGGGAGTAGGCAAACTACTAGTCAGTTTACTTTGTGTTGTATGCTAGTTTAAAAAATAAAATAATGTAATATAAAAGCAAAAAAAAAAAAGCTTTTATAATGAATTTTGTAAAGAGAGTTGTTACAGGGTGACCTGTTCCCTAGCTGTGAATATATATACTGTAAAGCTATAGTAACCCAAACCAATGGAATGACATAGATAACCTAGAAATAACATACTTCTACAATAACTGATCTTTTTTTGAGACAGGTCTTACTCTGTTGCCTAGGTTGGAGTGCAGTGGCATGATCATGGCTCACTGCAGTCTTGACTTCCTGGGGTAAGGTGATTCTGTCGCCTCAGTGCCCTCGGAGTAGCTGGGACTACAGATGTGCACTACCACTAATTTTTTGTATTTTTTGTAGAGATGGGGTTTTGCCATATTGTCCAGGCTGGTCTTGAACTCCTGGGCTCAAGTGATCTGCCTGACTTGGGGCTCCCAAAGTGCTGGGATTACAGGTGTGAGCCACCATGCCCAGCAAGTAACTGATTTTGACAAAGGTACCAAGAGCACACATTGGGAAAGGGTTAGTCTCCTCAATAAATGGTGCTGGAAAAAATTGGATATCCACATACAGAAAAATCAAACTAGACCCCTCTCTCTCACCACATATAAAAATCAATTCAAAGTGGATTAAAGACCTAAATGTAACACCCCAAATTATGAAACTACCAGAGGAAAATATAGAGGAAATGCTTTATAACATTGATCTGGACAAGAATTTTTTTGGATAAGACCTCAAAAACACAGGCAGCAAAAATAAAAACAGACAAATGGGATTACATCAAACTAAAAAGCTCTGCACAAAGAAAGCAATGAATAAAGATATAACCCACAGAATGGGATAAAAAATTTGCAAACTGTATATCTGTGGTAGGCCATTCTTACATTGCTATGAAGAAATACCTGAGACTGGGTAATTTATAGGAAAAGAGGTTTAATTGGCTTATGCTACAAGCTGTGCAGGAAGCATACTGCTCACATCTGCTTCTGGGGAGGCCTCAGGGAGCTTACAATCATGTTGAAAAGTGAAGAGAACAGGCGTATCAGATAGCAGGAGCAGGAGCAAGAGCGAGTGGGGTGGGGAGTTACCATACTCTTTTAAATGACCAAGATCTCATGAGAACTTGTTTGCTATGGCAAGGGCAGCACCAAGCTATGAGGAATCCACTCCCATGACCCAGACATCTCCCACCAGGCCCCACCTCCAACACTGGGATTACAATTCAGCATGAGATTTGGTGGAGACATATATTCAGATTATGCCAACGTCTGACAAGAGGTTAATATTTAGAATATAAAAGGAACTCTAAAGCAAAACCACAGATAATCCTATTTATTGATGGAAAACCTGAAAAGACATTTCTCACGAGAAGATATACAAATAGATGTCCAACAGATATATTTTAAAATGTTCTCTGTCTCTAATTATCAGATAAATACAAATGGAAACCCCAATGAGATATCACCTCACTCTAGTTAGAATAGCTGTTATTGGAAAGACAAACGATGTAGAGAAAAGGGAACTCCTACACACTGTTGGTGGGAATGTAAATTAGTACATCCAATATAGAAAACAGTAAGGAGGTTCCTCAAAAAATTGCAGGTACCATTTGATCCAGCAAGCCCACTATTGGGTATATATGCTAAAGGAAAGGAAATCAGTATGTTAAAGAGGTATCTGCACTCCCATGTTTCTTACAGCACTATTCATGATAACCAAGATAAGGAATCAACTTAAGTGTTCATCAGTGGATGAATAGATAAAGTGTGACACACACACACTGTGGATTACAGTTCAGCTATAAAAAGAAAGTCCTGTCATTTGCAGTGATATGGATGAACCTGGAGGGAATTATGTTAAGTGAAATAAGCCAAACAGAAAAATACTGAATGATGTAACTTATATGTTGAATCTGAAAAAGTTGATTTCACAGAAATAAACAGAATAGTGGTTACGAGAGGCTAGGAAGGGTAGCAGGGAATGGGGAGAGATGGGTACAGGTTGATAATTGGGTACAAAGTTACAGTTAGATGGGAGGATTAAGTTCTGGTGTTGTAATGCTCATTAGGATGACTATAGTTAACAATAATGCATTATATATCTCAAAATAGGTCTTAGGATTTTGAATGTTTTTACTACAAAGAAATGTTTGAGGTGGTGGATTTACTAATTACCTTGATTTGACCAATACACAATGTATATATGTGTGAAGGCATCACATTGTATTCCATAAATGTGTATAATTATGTCAAAAAACTTAAAAATGTATATTTTGCTGTTTTTCTAAATCTTGTTTTGTATATATTTTCAAGTGACTGTTTTTTCATCCATACAGAAAAACAAAACACAACTAGGTAGCATTAAAGAAAACAAAAAATTATATGAAACTTAAATTTTAAAATACTACTGTGATTAGTCTGCATAAGTCTATAGCTTAGAGATTAAACAATTAAAACAACCTTGTGAATAAAAGGAAATATAAGGTTGGCATTTGTAAAAAGATAAATGATAGTTACTTTAAAGTATTCTAAATAATATTATTTTTACCCTTTTGTTTAGGAAAGTAAGTCTAAACCAACAATCTTGAAGCCCATAATTCTGAATGAAATTATAGATGCTCACAAAGAAAAGATCAAGGAAGTGATTATGAAAGAGAGTGTGGTACCTACTGAGCACCTCAGACTCTATGACAAGTATGACTTTCTAATTACCACAAAAGCTGAGCAAGATGTTGATAACTTCCTAACAGGAAATCATAACTATCAACAAATAATAGATGAAATTCGAAAATACCAAAAACTAATAGAGGAAATACAATACACATCCATTAAGGTAAATGACTCCAACTTTGCACAACTGTTATCTCTATCTGATAACTTTTCCCCAGTTCTATTAGGATGTATTTTTAGAACACAGCAAAAGAATTAGAACATTGCTATCAAGAGGAAAAATATTCATTGAGCTTCTGATGTGTCCCCAGCATTGTGGTAAGCCCTGGGTATAAGAAGCTGGGCAAAACATGCTTCTCATGCTCATGTAGCTGAGACTCTGCTACCCCAAATCTAACTTGTAAGTATTTTATGTAATTTGCCCCATCCCTGCAATTCCAAGAATCTTTTTGATTTTTGCCTTAGTGTTTATAAATCCTGTGGAAAATACGGTAATTATACCAAAATATGGTTCTGTTTAGTAGCATACTAAAATAACTTAAAATTTGCTTTTTTGTCTCTTTTTTAAATTTTCTACCATGAACATGAATTTTTTTTTTGTACAGAGCAACTGTAACGTTTGAAACCTACATTATTTGTTTAGCAATTCATTAATTAAGTTTACCAAAATTGTTATTGCTATTATTGTCCTGAAATAGAATTAGCTTCCAAGATAATAAACTTTTCAAGGATATTTACCCAGCAGATAGTTGTAGAATACAAATGATTATTCAGAAAACCCACTCTGAATTACATATTTTTTTAATCTCAGTCTTGTTACATCACATGCAAAAATTAAAAATGAGAATGGCAAGATTGAGAAAATCTGTTTTATTTCATATGTTGATTAAACTTTTAATCTTTTGCAGACTGTTCGTTTAGGAATGTTTGAAATGCACTGTGAAGAATTAATCAGAGCTTTGGTGAAGAGAGCAGATGTTATTTGTGGGAAACTTATAGCTAAAATGTTCAGAGATCATCAGGAAATGAATACAAGGTATTTATGTGATACTGATTTTTTTTATTTTTTGGGAGGGATGTTGAATAGAATCAGCTGTCACTCAACTAAAGTAATGTATTAGAGCAATGTCATAAATGATTAAAAAGAAATGATTATGCTAAACTTATTTCTACTTGGCCTTAAGTGTCATTTTGTGATGTGATGTGATGATTATTTTTTTCACTGCAAATGTACCTCCCAATTGTCTGAGTTAAGGTGGTATTAAAATGTGTTTGCATTTGTTTTTTTTTTTTCAATTTCATTTTAGGTTTTGGGATACATCTGAAGAACATGTAAGATTGTTGCATAGGTACACACATGGCAGTGTGCTTTACTGCCTTCCTCCCCATCACCTGTATCTGGCATTTCTCCCCATGGTATCCCTGTATTGGTTTTGCACAAGTCAAGTGAATATTATCTAACTTCAGATTTTTACATTTGTGTAATCAATATGCAAAGTGGGTTTCAAAGTGGATTTAGATAGTTGTCATGGGTCCTAAGGGACCATCACATTTGAAACTTCATCTTCCCGTAATTACTCCTGAGGGCCATGGTAACTTTTTGTTTTATTTGGAAATTCATTTGTTGACTAACCTAGAGATTTTTAGGAAAACTGACCCATGTGAAGTATACTCACAGAATTCTAGTATATAAAGCAGAATACCTGTTTCTTTAAGACAAGAAGTAGAAAAGTGTAACTAGTCTTCCAACAGCTGGTGGTAATGTTGCTCTGGGAACCTCTCGACTGGCATCAGTTATGTGGGTGAAAAACCCTATATAATCCGGATATATTTTATGATTATTGTATATTAGAAAAAAAATAGATCATTAAAAATATTTCAAGCTGCCTAGAAGCCTGACAGAAGTTTTATTTACCTACCATCTGTTAGGCAGGAGATTAGTCACTTAGGCTGTAAGGCTCTAGACATGAATAAAACTAATGAAGGAAGTTACAATGTAGGTGGAGAAATAGACACACAAACCAGTAAATTACAATACCATGCAGTAAGTACTGTAATGAGCCACAAGGTAGAACAGAGAAGGACAGGATTAATTTCTTCCCAAGGTGGAGCTTAGGGGAGAGGGGAGAATCAGGGAAGGCTGCAAACAGGAAGGGAAGTGTGGATTTTATTTTGAAGGATGAGTGGGAGTTTATCAGGTATACAGTGTGGGTGAAGGAATTCCAGGAAGAGAAGATACTGTGTATAGGGCAGTGAGGTGTGAAAATTGAAGGGTGTATTCCAAGAACTAGGAGTGGTTTGCATTGCTTTCACAGACAGCGTGAGGGAAGAGAGGTGAAAGGAAAGGCTGGGGATGAAGGCACCATGTGAAAGCATACTAGGACTTGAATCTAGGAACAGATCATGTTTTCAGCATAAAGCACCTTTTCCTCTAAAAGAACTGGAAGAATAGTGAAAGTGTCTTCTCGTTATTGCTGTTCACACTGGGTGAAATAGTTATTTTAATTTCGTGGCTACTTCCCCTGCCTCTTAATGCTCCCTGAGCTGGTGCCAGTTCTACTTTTTCTCATTTTCTTCTAAAATGAGTCCTGCGTCTCACCAGACTCTCTAGGATGGACAGAGGGCTTATCAGGACTATTAAAGGAGCCATTAGATATGAATGCCTTCCACTGCTTGCTCCTGCATGGTTTGACACACTACTCGGTTTTTCTCTCTGCCTAGGAGCTCGGCCCTATTGCTTTCTTTTTTTTTTTTTTTTTTTAATTTTTTATTGGATTTTTAGGTTTTGGGGTACATGAGCAGAGCATGCAAGACAGTTGCGTAGGTACACACATGGCAGTGTGCTTTGCTTTCCTTTTCCCCTTCACCCACATTTGGCATTTCTCCCCAGGCTATCCCTCCCCACCTCCCCCTCCCACTGGCCCTCCCCTTTTCCCCCCAATAGACCCCAGTGTTTAGTACTCCCCTTTCTGTGTCCATGTGTTCTCATTTTTCATCACCCGCCTATGAGTGAGAATATGCGGTGTTTCAATTTCTGTTCTTGTGTCAGTTTGCTGAGGATGATGTTCTCCAGATTCATCCATGTCCCTACAAACGACACAAACTCATCATTTCTGATTGCTGCATAATATTCCATGGTGTATATGTGCCACATTTTTCCAATCCAGTCTATTATCAATGGGCATTTTGGTTGATTCCAGGTCTTTGCTATTGTAAACAGTGCTGCAATGAACATTCGTGTAGATGTGTCCTTATAGTAGAACGATCTATAGTCTTTTGGATATGACCCCTATTGCTTTCAATGCCTCTGAGCCCGGCATCTTCAGTCATACCTTCTGTAGTCCTTATTTTGAACCTCTCATTCCCTGTTGATTTTCCCTCTTTCATCTCCCAACCCCAGACTTTAACCCATTATCCCCATACTGTTACTTTCTCCTTCATCTTTCAGCCAATCTAATTGGAGAATTGTTCTATTAGTTTCATTTTCTTGCTGCTTTTTTTTTTCCTGTATGCCAATATAAGTTCATTATTTATATTGGCAACAACCAAAATAAGTAGGAAATAATTGCATATTGCTGGAAGTTTCTGAGCACACAGGCCTATTTTAAACAATCCCTCCGAGTATAGTTAATCACTCCTTTCCTTTGTACTACTTTCTTCCTACCATCTCAACTAAATCTCTATTAGAAACCTTAAAACTCAGATTGGAAATGATTATTCACAGTCCTGTCTCCCTTACTGAATTGTGAGTAGCCTGAGGGCCATTATGATATCTGACTCATTTATGTATTACTGTCACTTAATATTATAGTTGAAAATGTAATAGATTATTAAATGTGCACTGAATAAGTAAATGTATGTAAATTTGCTTTTAATTATTAGATATCACAGGCAAGTTATAATTTTTTTCATGCAATGCAATATTTAAACAGTTTACAGTAATATATTTTAGAATTACGTTTACTTGTAAATATGTAAGATTGGTTTTCTTTGGTGTTTCAGATTATGCGATGAATTTGAGAGGATAGCTGAAAAAGCTCTTAGCACTCCTCTAAATACAGCAGAACTGATGGAAATGAAGGTATTGTTTATAGCTTCTTCATAATTTTGTATGTATCAGTTAATTATTGACACAAGAATGCAGAGTAACAAATCACCCCAAATGTAAAGACAGATTAAAAATAATAATGCCTTTCAATTACTGGGCATGGTGATGTGCCCTTGTAGTCCCAGCTACTCGGGAAGCTGAGGCAGGAGAATCGCTTGAACCCAGGAGGTGGAAGTTGCAGTGAGCTGAGATGGGGCCACTGCACTCTAGCCTGGCAACAGAGAAACTCCATTTCAAAATAATAATAATAATAATAGTAATAACAACAACAACTTTCAAAATACTTAGCTCATAAGTTTGCAGTTTGGTAATTTAGGCTAGATGCTCCTGGTTGGTTCTTCTGGTCTCCCTGGGGTCACTCTGTTGGGTCACTCACTCGGTTGGGTTGACTAGGTTGATTTGGCTCCACTTGTCCCTCAAGCTCCAGCAGGCTCATCTGGGTATGTTCTCATGTTATGCAGGCAAGCTCAGTTGTACAAGTGCTTTTCAAGACTCTGTTTCTGTCACATTAGCTAGCATCTCATTGACCAAAGCAAGTCTGATTGAGAGGACACTACAGGGCATGGATATTGGAGAGATGAATTATTGGAACAATTAGTGCAATCAGGAAAAAATCAGGAATCTTTTTAGACACTCAATAATTATTACCATGCTAACAGGAACAAACCAGGTCTGTCTTGGGTAGCCTGAGCTGTGTAGTCACTCCTCATTTATTTTATCAACAAATATTTAAGCCTTAAGTGACAGTTAATTTTTTCAAAAGCTATATTTTGTATACTTTGGCTTAATACACATAATACACCTGTGGAAGCCATCTAAATAAAAAATTGAGACACATCTGAAAAAAAAGCTGTATTTTGTTTATATTAAGCTTTTCTGTGGTAGTTTGTTCAAATATATTTTGGGCATAGAATTTATGGCTCTGAAGGTATTAGGTAAGGCTCACTTTCATCATTTCTCACGTTACTTCTGTGTTTGCAGTTGGTATAGTTTGAATGCTTGCATGATCCCCAGTGTTGGAGGTAGGGCCTAATGGGAGTTTTTCGGTGGATCCCTCATGAATGGCTTGGTGCCTTCCTGACGGTAAAGAGTGACTTCTTGCTTGTCTAGTTTTCCTGAGATCTGATTATTAAAAAAGAGCCTGCCACCCCCTCCTTTCTTTTCTTTTCCCTCTCTTGCCATATGTCACATTACCCCTTGCATTTTGCCATGAGTAAAAGCCTCCTGAGGCCCTGAGCAGAAGTAGATGCTGGCACCATGCTTCTTGTACAGCCAGGAGAACTGTCAGCCAAAAAGGTGGGGGAGCTGGGGAGGGATAGCATGGGGAGAAATGCAAGATGTGGGTGAAGGTGAGGATGGCAGCAAATCACACTGCCACGTGTGTACCTATGCAACTATCTTGCATGTTCTGCACATGTACCCCCAAACCTAAAATGCAATAAAAAATAAATAAATAAAGCCAGTACCCAAATGGAAAAAAAAAAAAAGCTTCTTTTTTCTTTATAAATTTACCCAGCCTCAGGTAGTCCTTCATAGTAACACAAAGTAAGTTAATACAGAAATCTACCTAATGGCACATAAAATAGTGTTAAACAACTAGCCAACTGCCGTTTCGTTTTGTATGCTTTTCATTCTTATAATATTAATTTTTTGTGGTATTTTTTTCATTTTCTAGTATTCCAAAAATCCTTCCAAATTTGGTTTTATTTTTAATTTTCATGGGTACATAGTAGGTACATTTATTTATGGGGAATATGAGCTATTTTGATGTAGGCTTACAATGCGTAATAATCACATCAGGGTAAATGATGTATCCAGCACCTTGAGCATTTATCCTTTGTGTTTCAAACAATCCAATTATATACTTTTGGCAATTTCAAAATGTACAATTAAATTATTGACTGCAGTTATCCTGTTATGCTGTAAAATACTAGATCTTTTTCATTCTTTTGAAATATTAATCTATTTTTGTACCCATTAACCATGACCACATCCTCCACATCCACCCACTACCCTTAAAGCCTCTGGTAACCATCCTTTTACTCTCTACTTTCATGAGTTCAATTGTTCTAAATTTTAGCTATCACCAGTAAGTGAGAACATGAAAAATTTGTCTTTCTGTGCCTGGCTTATTTTGCATAATGACCTTCAGTTCCATCCATGTTGTTGCTAATAACAGAATCTCATTCTTTTTCATAACTGCATTGTGTACCACATTTCCCTTTTCTATTCATCTGTTGATGGACACTTACATTGCTTCCAAATCTTGGGGATTGTGAATAGTGCTGCAATGAGCTTGGAGTGCAGCTATCTGTTCAATACACTGATTTCCCTTCTTTTGGATATATACCAGCAGTGGGATTGCTGGATCATACGGTAGCTCTAGTTTTTGTTTTTCAAGAAACCTCCAAGCTGTTCTCCATAGTGGTTGTACTAATTTACATTCCCACCACCAGCATAAGACCTTTCCCTTTTCTCTGCATTCTCAGCAGCCTTTGTTATTGCCCGTCTTTTGGAAAAAAAGCCATTTTAACTGGAGTGAAATGTTATATCATTGTATTTTTGATTTGCATTTCTCTGATGATCGGCAATGTTGAGCACCTTTGCATATGCCTGTTTGCCATTTGTATGTCTTCTTTTGAGAAATATTTATTGAGATAATTTGTCCACTTTTTCATCAGATTGAGATTTTTCTAAAGAGTTTTTTGAGTTCCTTATGTATTCTAGTTATTAATCCCTCATCAGATGGGTAGTTTGCTAATATTTTCTCCCATGCTCTGGGTTGTCTCTTCATGTCATTTTCATGCAGAAGCTTTTTAAGTGGATGTGATTTCCTTTGCTGTGTGGAAGCTTTTTAGCTGGATGTGATCCCATTTGTCTACTTTTCTTGGTTTGCTTGTGCTTGTGGAGTATTATAAGAAATCTTTGCCAAGTCCAAGTTCCTGGAGAGTTGCTCCAATATTTCCTTGTAGCAGTTTCATAGATAGAGGTCTTAGATTTAAGTCGTTCATCCATTTTGATTTGATTTTTGTAGATATTGACAGTCAGAGGTCTAGTTTCATTCTTCTGCATATGAATATCCAGTTTTCCCAGTACCATATATTGAGGAGACTGTCATTATCCAGTTGTATGTTCTTGGCATTTTTCTTGAAAATGAGTTAACTGTATATTTATGAATTTGTTTCTGTGTTCTCCATTCTGTTACAGTAGTCTGTGTGTCTCTTTTTCCTTGAATACCACGCTGTTTTGGTTACTATAGCTCTGTAGTATAATTGGAAATAAGGTAATGTGATTCCTCCAGTTTTTTTCTTTTTGCTCAGCTTTGGCTATTCTGAGTCTTTTGTGGTTTCATATAGATTTTTAAGATTTTATTTTCTATTTCTATGAGAAAAGTCATTGGCATTTTGATAAGAATTGCATTGAATGTGTATATTGCTTTAGGTAGTACAAACATTTTAACAATATTGGATTTTTCTAATTTATGAACATGGAATATCTTTTCTTTTTGGTGTCATCTTCATTGTGTTATAATTTTGATGGTAGAGATCTTTCACTTCTTTGGTTAATCCTAGGTATTTAATTTTATTTGTGGCTATTGTAAATGGGATTACTTTCTTGATTTATTTTTCAGATTGTCCGCCTTTGGCACATATAAGTACTACTGATTTCAGTATGTTAATTTTACATCCTGCAACTTTATCAAATTTATCAGTTCTAATAAATTTTTGGTGGAGTCTTTAGGATTTTTCAAATATAACATTATCTTCTAACAAGAATAATTTGATTTTATTTCTTGTCTTATCTGATAGCTCTAGCTTGGACTTCTAGTACTATGTTGAATAACAGTGGTGAAAATGGGCATCCTTGTTTTCCAGATTTTGACTTATTATTTAGATGATTTTATTTCTTGTCTTATCTGATAGCTCTAGCTTGGACTTCTAGTACTATGTTGAATAACAGTGGTGAAAATGGACATCCTTGTTTTCCAGATTTTAGAGGAAAGGCTTTCAGTTTTTCCCCATTCAGTATGATACTAACTGTGAGTCTGTCCTATGGCTTTTATTATGTTGAGGTGTGGTCCTCCTATACAGTTTTGGAGGTTTTTTTTTTTTTTTTAATCAGGAAACAATGTTGAATTTTATTAATTTTTCAGCATCAATCAAAATGGTCATATGAATTTTGTCATTTATTCTGTTGATATGATGTATCACATTGATTTCCATATGTTGGATCATCCTTGCATCCCTGGGATAAATTCCACATGGTCCTGGTAAATGACCTTTTTAAATGTGTTGTTGAATTCAGTTGGCTAGTATTTTGTTTTGTTTTTGTCTTTGTCTTTAAAATATATATATATATTTTATTGCACTTTGGCTTCTGGGGTACATGTGAAGAACATGCAGGATTGTTGCATAGATACATACATAGCAATGTGGTTTGCTGCCTCCATCCACATCACCTATATCTGGCATTTCTCCTCATGTTCTCCCTCCCCAACTCCCTGCCCACCACTGTCCCTCCCCTAGTCCCCCACAACAGACCTCAATGTGTGATGCTCCCCTCCCTGTGTCCATGTGTTCTCATTGTTCAAAATGCGCCTATGAGTGCGAACATGCCGTGTTTGGTTTTCTGTTCTTGTGTCATTTTGCTGAGAATGATGGTTTCCAAGTTCATCCATGTTTCTACAAATGACATGAACTCATGGTTTTTTTTTTTGTTGTTTTTGTTTTTTCTAATTGCATTTTAGGTTTTGGGGTACATGTGCAGAACATGCAAGACAGTTGCATAGGTACACACATGGCAGTGTGTTTTGCTTCCTTTCTTCCCTTCACCCACATTTGGCATTTCTCCCCAGGCTATCCCTCCCCACCTACCCCTCCCACTGGCCCTCCCCCTTTCCCCCAATAGACCCCAGTGTTTAGTACTCCCCTCTCTGTGTCCCTGTGTTCTCATTTTTAATCACCCGCCTATGA